TTCCTTCTTCCAACGGTGACATGGATTGGTCCAAAATAATCCATCCCGACATTTAAAAATGGCCTCACCGCTCGATTCAGTCTAGCTTCTGGAAGCTGCCCCATCATGGGTGCTATCGGCTTAGCTCGCTGATTCTTGCAGACCTGACATCTCGAGAAAGCGGATTTCACTGCTGCTCGTCCATTGATCACCCAGTAATCTTGCCTTATTTCATTCAAAACCAGCTCCACTCCCCTATGGCGAAGTTTCTCGTGATAATGGTGTATCAGCAGTTTAACATAATCGTGTTTCGGGCTCAAAATGATGGGTTGCTTTGTCCTTTCAGAAAGTTCATTAGCTAAGTTGGTTCTCCCTCCAAGGACTAGAAAACCATCCTTCAATTCTGGACACAATGAGTGAAGTGGACTCTGATTACTCAAAGTTTGTCCAAGTTTCAAGTTTCGGATATCTTCTGGAAAACACTCTTGTTGAGTTCGTTGTATCCACTGTTTCTCAGCTTCCTTGATTTCGGCTACGGATAATTCTGGAGAAAATTTGATATCAACATTCAATATTTTGTTCTTCATCATCATCGTGAATCTCAGTAACCATGCAGTGGATCTCACCAACTTCAGCCATTTCGAGAATCTCTTGATTTCAGGAAGGACATTTTCATGTTCTCTTGTGGCCAAACAAACTTCGGAAGTTGATTTAGACTTGAGTTCCTTTAGATCATCTTCTATGAGCTGGTCACTTTTTTCTTCTGTTGGCCAAGAATCCTCTGGGAGTTTCAAAAAATCAGGTCCACTAAACCAATATTCGGATATAGCGGATACTTTTTTATCATTGCGTCGAAATGTATCTCGTGTCGCCTCGTCTGCCGTATTGTGTTCACTCGGAACCCACCTCCAATCACTGATAGTCGTTCGTTCTTGGATTTCACCCACTCTGTGAGCGACAAACTGTTTGTAGTCTCTACCATTAGCTCGTATCCATTTCAAAACACACCTGGAATCTGACCAAAAATATGTCTTCTCTATTTTTATTTCCAATTCAGTCTTGATTGAATGGACTAATCGGCTCGACATGACGGCTGCTTGTAACTCCAGCTTCGGAATCGACAATGGTTTCAAAGGTGCCACCCTAGTCTTAGCTGCAATCAGAGAGATGTCTACCTTTCCATTACAGAGTGTTCGAAGATAAACAACTGAAGCAAATGCCTTCTCGCTGCTATCGCAGAAGGCATGGATCTCAATTGATGTGGCATTCGGTATCAACAGGCTATAGCATCGAGGGATTCTTATTCTAGTAATTTCTTGGAACTCTTCTATCCATTTTCTCCAAATAATCAGTAAATTTTCTGGTAGAGGATCGTCCCAATTTATTCTTGCTCGCCATATGTCCTGCATCAAAATTTTACCTTTGATTGTAAAACAAGCGATGAGTCCTAACGGGTCAAATAAAGACATTATCGACTTCAAGATCTTTCTTTTCGTGGGTATCTCATCCAACATGAAATTTAGTGGATTCAATTCGAAGGAAAATTCGTCGCTGTCTGAATTCCACCACAGACCTAACACTCTATGCATTGAAGAATCATCGATGTTCTTTGAACTCGCCAATAGCATGTTGTCCGACAATTTTTCCTTTATCAGTGGTGAATTCGTCATCCAATTCACAACATCGAAACCGGCAATCTTCTGTATTCTACGAACTTCTTGGATGGCGTTGAGAGCTTCAACTTCATTGTCTCTGGAATCGAGATAGTCGTCCACATAAAACTTTGTTATGATGGCTTGCTGGATTTCAGGATCTTCGGCGAATCTCTCAGCATTCAGGTTCTTCACGAATTGTGCGCAAACGGGGGAACATGTTGCGCCAAAAGTCATAACGAGCATTTCATAAGTGTCTGGATCTCGGTCAATTTCTAAATTCCTCCAAAGGAAACGTTGAGCACACCTGTCTTCTTTCCGGATACCAACTCTATGGAACATCTCGCGGACGTCACCGCAAAATCCGAAGCGCCGTTGTCGGAATTTCCATAGTATCGCTACTAGAGATTGAAGTAGATCAGGTCCAGCCATCAGGTTATCATTCAAGCTGACACCATGGGACTTTGCAGCCGCATCGAAAACTATCCTGATCTTGTTTGGTTTGTTTGGATTATGAACTGCAAAGTGTGGGAGGTACCAGGTGTGGGGATCAACAGTATCTGCTTCCTCTCGAGTCAACTTCCTGATGTATCCTTTTTCTTCGTAGTCCCGAATCTTGTCACAGTAGTCTCTTCCTAGTTTATCATTCTGTCGACATTTCTTCTCCACACATCGCATTCTCTGTAGTGCTCTATATCTGCTTTCAGGTAGCTGGATATCATCATGTCGCCAAAGGAGGCCAATTTCGTATCGTTCATCTACTTTCTTGATCGTTTCGTTCATTATTTTCAGTGCTCTCTCGTTTTCCACAGATAGTCGATCAGCTGTGACTAGCACGCCGAATGATTCAGTCGAGAACGAGTTTTTGACCAGTTCAAGCAATTCGTCTTCTGCATTTTTCTTCTCGCAGATGTGGAGGGTATGAGCTCGAAATATCTCGGCATCATTCCTTCTTGAATCGCAAGGACCGTGTACTGCCCATCCCAGTCTGCATTTACTCGCAACTGGCAAATTTTCCGGACCACTCCGTATTTGTCGAACAATTATAAGGTTCGCGTTGTCTTGACCAATCAGCAGTAGCGGTTTTTCATTCCGAACGTCACTAATTGGCGGTCCCTTCAGATGTCTATATTTTCTCCAATCACTCATGTTGACATTTTGTGTTGGCAGTGACATATTCTCGATTGTACGGACTCCTCTCATGATGAATATGCTATTTTCTTCATTGGGTTTCGAAATTTGGACATCCATACGGAGTGAAGTCTGCTGTATCGACACCTCATCATTAGTCCACTGTAGACAAAGAGTCTCTGAAGATCCAGTCAAACCAAGTTTTTCAGCTATCTTTGCGTCCAACAGTGTGACCGTAGAAGCTTCGTCGCACAAGGCAAGTACTGAAATCACCCCTGCTGGTCCATATAGAACTGGAATCATTCGCAGAATGACCCTTTTCGTGTCGCTTCGTAGAGTACAGACCATCTCAACCTCTTCTGTTGAACCTTCCTGTATTCCTGAACTGCCTTTATCTATGGGATCTTTATGCAGGAGGAAATGGTGGTACATCTGGCATCCATCCTGGTCACATTTCTTCTTCAGTCTACATTTGAACTTATGATGGCTTCTGTTTAGGCAAGAAAAACATAACTTTTTCCTAGTCACTATCTTCCACCTTTCGTCTACAGGATCTTCTTTCATTTTGGGACATAACTCTTCTCTGTGCTCCTTTTCGCAGTAATAGCATTTATTATTTCTTTTCAGTTCTTGGGTGCTGAATACTCTCTCAGGTTTCTTGGCTTGAAAGTGTTGTTTAAACTGTCCATGTTTTTCAACATGGTAGCTTTGAGGTGTACTAACGTAGCACGCTGCATTTGCCATTTCCCCAATCCATTGTGAGAGATCTTCTAAATTCACTTGTCCTTTTTTACTGACTACAACTTCACCCCATTTCAATTTCAATGTATCTGGGAGTTTGTATAGAAGGTCTTTCAATAATTGTGGATTTTGGAGATGTCCTGTAGAATTCAGTGTCTTCATTATTGACACCACATTACGAACTTCTGTTGAAAACTGAATGAGTTTCTCCAAATTTGTTTCCCTAATATAAGGTATGCTCCTAACATTGAAAAGCATAGCATCAATGATTTGTTCGGGTCTTCCAAAACGCATCTGTAGAGTCTGAATCACCAAATCAACATTTTCAGGTGTCAACATCATTCCTGCTACTGCTCCTTTCGCGTCCCCTCTCAAGCAGCTTTGCAATTTCAACATGATTTCTTCGTTGGAATATTCACAAAGACTGCATATATTCTGGAACTGTTTATAGAATAGGGGCCACTCTCGCGGGTTTCCGTCAAAGCGTGGAAAGTCCTTATCAACTGTGTGTCGTGCTAATAATTTTGAAGATTTATTATGAATGCTTGGCGGTGAAACAGATTTCAGAACATTAGAAAGAGTTTCACAAAGCATTCTTATATCATTGTTGGGATGTTCATTGTCATGTTTGCATACGACATCCTCAACTTCTTCTTCGGGTATTGTTTCTATCCAGTCTGCCACTGTCTCCACTTTATTTTCTTCCACGAAACTTCTATTATTTCTTAAAATATCGATAGATATCCTAGATTTTTCACTGCAGCTTCTCATTTCTTCTTGTTCATCCAATTCAGCATTCTGGAGATCATGTTCCATCTCTAGAAGGCGGATACTATTTTCGGTTTCTTTCTGTTTCTGTTCAAATTCGAACTGTACTTGTCTCTGTTTCTGTTCCAACTCTTGTTTTTTCTTCTCTTTCAATATTGCTAGCCTCTTCTTTTCTAAGCTAATGAGAGAACAAATGGAACTTCGAGATTTCTTCGTAGACGTCGATGGTGCCGCAGCATCAGAACGTGTGGCTATCACTTCCGTAACAATTTCAGCGGGTACATTATCAGTGCCAAAGTTACCTGGCCACACGAAGTCGACTGATAGATTGCGATTAACACCAGCACATTCTCGTCTAGGTCTCTGATCTTTCTCCATAGTCGTGATCACGTCGGGGTCACCAAATGTTGTTGCCTTGCTCAAAATAACCGTCTGGCCAATAAATAAATAATATTTTCGTCTTTTTAGATTTTATTGACGTTTTGTCTTGACAAGTTATTTATATATTTTTTTTAACAACTTTCTCATTCAACTATTTTTCCAATCAAAACTAAACAATCCATGAAAACAAACAATATGCATATTATACAAGGTCCGTTTCTATCTGGGCTCGCACAAATACTATCCAGTGACTCTAGAGAGAACTAACGTAGAGCGGGTGCAAAACCAGTGCACCACCAGGTTTACGAATGGAATTCGCTATGAAACAGACCTATTCCCCTCTTTCAGGCACCAAAATCACCGAATCCGAGTCCAGAGACGCCGCCTTCGACCAGACCTGTCCGAACACGATGCGCCTGTTCCCCGCCTCTTTCAGGCGACCGTTGCAGAACATGGTAGACGGCGTGTGCCCGCGGCGGTCCCACAAGCGGCGGCTGACCGCCTCGGAGTTCTCGGCGGCCAATTTGAACCACCTGAAGGTGCTCAAGGATATGGGCATCAACCTGCTGGCATTGAACGATGGGAGGGTGCAGCTGCTGCATACTTTTTCGGCGGTGAGTGGGCGAATGTAATGGTGTTCTGCAGTGTTGCCGTTTCAGGATTTCAATTTGTACTAGAACTACTAGAAGTCATTCCGAAATTGTACTAAATTCAAGTATATTATATATTATAGTATACAGAGAGATGTATAGAAATTTAACTGGTGCGCTTACTCCCTATTGAAGGTCGTTTGCAAGTTTCTCGATGGCGCCTACTCTGATAAACCTTTGATAAACATACTTGACGTGGGTAAATCTCGCTAAGCTCATCCTGGTTACAATCTAAATCTAAATATTAGGATACGTATATATGATTTGGATCAGAGCAGTGAACTGATTTCTGATCAAAGGATCGAAACGTCAATATGTCAGAACAATGATGGAAATAGATTCATCCCTCACAGAACCAAAGTTTTGAACGATTTTCCGATTATGGCGCCTCTATCGTCAAATACCTGAACCCCACGTCCAAAACTCGCTTGCAATTGTTCCATATCGAGAGTTAGTCTGACGAAACAATTGAAGTGTGAGCCCACCAGTTAAATTTCTATACATCTCTGTATACAGTGTGGTCATTTAAGTGTGCAACATATGGGAATCTTTTTAATGAATTGCACTACCAAAATATAGATAGTGCCGAAAGTTTTTGCATGTTCGGTAATCATTCTAGGTGCATTTAGAATGGTTGCAAGTCAAACAGCATACAGGGTAGGTCAAAAACTTTTTAAATTGCTCAATAGTAAAGTATCCTTATAGCGGAAAATTCAGTCAAATGTTAATGAGAAAAGTTGCTAACAATTAAAAGTAATGCTTAAATACCAAAGCATGCCCTCCTTAGACATTTTTTAGTTTTTCAGTTCTTTTTGTTAATAATTTCCCAATTTGTATTTTTTTTCATATTCACCCTAAACACTTTCATGCGTTAATCATAACAACATCAGTTGAGAAAACCTTTGTTTAAATTCAAGAATATTTGTGCAATAAACTTGGATTTTAACTTTTTCAAGGAATCACAAACTTTATGTTTGTTGCAACGATATTCAGCTCAACTTTAAAATTTCGCAAACCATATTTTAAACAATGTTAAACATCATTAGATGAGAAGTTGATGTCACCAAACTGTCTTAATGTTTACTGTCAACGCTCATTTGTATTGTTCCTTGGGTATTCGTGATTATTTCAAATGCAAGTGCGGGTACAGCTACTTGATTTTTTCTTCATACTACCACAGTGACTACGACTCGTGGCGTAGTTGACTGTGCGTTTGAATCTCACGTGGGCGACCCGGGTTCAATACCTGCAACGGTCGGCGTTATAATTCTGTTTCATTAAGTGATATTCCGAAAAATATAATTTTTAGGAAGAAGGTTCATTTAAACCGATTGAGGTTAGATGGTTTAATAAAAGTAGTGTCCTTTTTAATGCAGGAGGGATATTTTCCTTCTTGCCTGGAAAAAGTCCTGTCTTTTTAGACCGACTAAGGGTAGATTGTTTTAAAAAAATTAGTGTCCTTTATTATGCAGAAGGAATATTTTTCCTCCTCCCTCAAAAAAGTACTGTGGAGGCATTTACTGTTGGGAAAAGTTTTCTTTTCGAAGGATAGTCTCTTTTCACTTCCATGTGCATTCATGAAAATGCAATTTTCTTCTTTTTGGGTTATCCTATCAGTTCAAGATCATTGAAGTACTTTCTTCCTCAAGTTGAAGAAAATCAGCACAATCCGGCAACATTGATATGACTGACACGGGATTACCCACGGGATCCCCACCACTATTCCATTTTATGACGCAGATTCCGCAGACGCAAGTGGCAAATGTGCTTTGTACATACAGGGTGCGCCTCTTAAAATGGAACCCCCTCTTAATCAAAAAGTTGTTTCAAACTACCCAAACTTTCATTTCGTGAAATTTTTTTTATATACAGGGTCTTTCGTTCTTCCGGAAAGGACATGAACTCTGAATTTTTCAATGGAACACCTTAAATATTTTCCTAAATATGGATAGAACCTTTCTTCTGATTTCAAAAATATACAGGGTGTTTCCTAATTGAATGTCAATATTTGAGGTGGTGATACTTGGACCCATTTTAAGAAGAAAATTTCATATGAACGTTTGACCTAAACATCTTTTTGAGATACAGGGTGGTGAAGTTCTCAAAAATAAATTGTTTTTTATTAATATCTGTAATACCACTTCAGATATCCTAATGAAATTTGGCATACATGTACTATGTATCAAGAGTGTACCACCTGTGGCGTTCATATTGAATTTCACACCCTATTTTGACAGACATTGATGGTGCACCACTGATTAATCTCGAAATTAAAATTATTCTTAAAATTCTCAATCATTTCTAAAGGAATAAGATCTCTACAATTCTTTCAATCTGATGCACGGTTTTCCCTTAAAAAAATAAAAACGTTTTCACTGCATGATCATAAAAATATCGTTAATAATATGACAATATCACAATGCAGAGAAATAGATTTCATTTTTTAGGTGAAAACCATAATTCTGACTGAAATAATTCAAGAGATCAGATCAAGTGGTATTACAGATATTGATGAAAAACTATTTGTTTCTGAGAACTTCACCAGCCTGTAACTCAAAAGTTAAGACGTTTAGATCATACATTCATATGAAATTTTCTTCTTTTAATGGGCCCAGGGATCGCCTCAAATATTGGCATTCAATTAGGAAACACCGTGTATATCAGTTGCATATTTGGATGAAAAATAGTTATTGATGATCAAAGTTTACCAAAATACCGCTTTATGAACCTTTACTTCATCACTTGATAATCATGAAAATCCATAATAAATGTAAAAAACTGCGTGAACGCTAAGATCCTATCTAGAGTCACTGGATGGTATAAGTTAGATAAGAGTTCGGACACAGAAATGATAACTGTTAGTGTTTTTGAATGTTTAGATTCATTAAGTCCACACCTGACACTTGGCATTGTGGCAAGAGCACCATAGTCGATCTGCGCTTTTTCGTCGGAATTGGAATATAATTTCATAAACTATTGAGAAAAATGTATAAATGAAATTATCCTGCTGTGACATTAATTGTGGAAATTCTGTAGATAGATTCCATTTATTTAATTTCTCGACGGAAATACCAACCATTCTCTTATGGAGGGAATGTATGACATTGGCCTGGATCTCTGTCTGATGGATTCAAAATTGGCAAAATTAATTTGAAGACAAGCAGAATATGTGAGGAATGTGAGGTAGGTATACCTGCATATATTAAAGTTCACATTCACATTATAACAGCAGATTAAAATGAAACTATATTTTAGGCCCATTTTCAAACAGGAGATTTTGATATCCGTTTGAGACAATCTGCTGTTACATCATCATCATTTACAATACTGACAATTTCGAGTACAGTTTTACATACAATAATAAGGAACTAGTTATAAGTGTATCCATAAGTGTTTTTTTTTCATATTAAAATGTTGTTACATGCATTCTTTTCATTTTTATAACTGTTGTTCTGCGAGAAGTGTTTCGCTATAATTTGATGTAGGCGTTTATGCCCTATTTCCATTTTCCATCTACGTCCCTACGGCTATAATTGATTTGACAGAAAGTCTAACCTTTGAAATCGTATCTGACAATCAGGTGCTACTAGGGATATTGAAAATACAAAGAGCAAAATGTATGACAATCGTTCATCTGTGTCTGAACTCTTATCTAACTAATAGCGAATTCCATTGGTAAAAATGGATCGCACCAAGTGCATATTTTGTATTCCATTGGTAAAACTGGTGTCGGGTTTTGAATTTCATTGGAAAACTGGTTCACATAGTTTAGAGCTCAGTGCAACAATTCTCGCACGAGCTCTAATAGGTCCGGCGAAGTAGGTACAGTTTTGAAAATGGCAGAAACATTGAATATGCATAACTTGAAAACCAAAATTAAGTGGCAATCTAATCATTATCATCAAGTAGTGATGAAAATTTGGAGGTAACAAGAAAATAAAGGAGACTACTTCTCAGAATTCATAATTTTGTTGAGTGTTTTGCACTAAAATTCAATGATGAAGAGAACTGCTCAGAATCATTTCCATGAAACATCTACTCCGTTTTTAAATGAAGTCGAGAAAGAATTTCAGGATACGGACAAGTTATGAACAATGACAAACCAATTTATCCGATTTAACCTCCAACAATAACATTTTATTATATTATTTCGTATTCCATTGGGAATGCACCAGTTCACATTTTGGAGAGAACTAACGTAGTGCGGGTGCCAAACTGGTGCAAAACTAGTGCACCACCAGGTTTACGAATGGAATTCGCTATAATACTAGAGTCCCTGTATGTATTTGATAGTTTTGCTGAAATAAGAGTACGGACACGTTGACAAGCAGTGACAGAAGTCATAACCCTAAAAAATTCTGAATGACATGACCAATTTGGCGGGCACTGACAGTTTATGAACGTACATGACGTTGAATTATTTGAAAATTCAGTTTTTCAAAAATTAAAATGGCTGAGTGTGTAGTTGAAAACTGAAAGAATAGAAAATGATCATTTCATTCATTCCATTTCTTCCATGATAAACAACAGCTACAGAAATGGAAATAAAACATGAAGCGGCCATTGTGGAAATTGAGTTCAGCTAGAAAAAACTATCAAAGATTCAGAGAATGATGAGAAATACAGAGAAAAAAATCAAAGAAAAGAATGAACAGTTGAAAAATACCTTGAAACAAAAAGACTCTGAAACGTGACTGCAAGTAACGAGAATTCACAGCTGAACTAATTTGGAAACAATCTCTTGAAAACATATCTAGAAAAAAGAACTATCAGTACCAAAATCAATAATTGTGAATCTAAAATCCTATATATAAACAACGGAGTTCCTCAAGGATCAGTGTTGGGCCCAATACTGTATCTTTTATACATTCAGAATATTTCAAAAATAAATTTAATAGGAAACTATGCCATATAAGCAGATGACACAGTACTTTTATTTGAAAACAAAAACCCTGTAATTTTAGAAAACAACATAAATGAGGATTTGAAAAAAATGGAAGAATGGCTATACTCCAATCTTCTTTCCCTTGATTCTAATAAGACCCAATATATAATTTTCCATCAAAGAAATAAACAAAATATTGATTTGAATATTTGAATAAAAAATGAAAGATTGAAACAAACTGCCTATACCAAATACCTTGGTATTTGGATTGATGAAAAGTTAACATGGAACAAGCATATTGGCATGCTCAAAGAAAAAATTTCCCCCATAGTTGGTGCCTTAAGAAGATGTCCAAAACTTCTCCCAAATATAGCAAATACCGTTCTATACTCTCACATCCTTAGTAAAATGAACAATCTCATAAATATTTGGGGTTCATGTTCCAAGAATAATTTCAACAAAATATCTGTACTATATAAAAAAGCATTAAAAGTACTGTATCGTCTTCCATATGACACCCCATCAAATCAACTTTATGAAGAAACAAATACATTTTCTTTGGAAGAGCACTATCTGATAAATACTCTCAAAATTTCTTTTGATATTATCAACAAACATCTCAAATCTAACTTCATATTGGTAAGGAATTCTCAAATTCATGAACATCATACTAGACAATATGACACTTGGTCGAAAAAAGTTCACTCACGCAGCTATCTCAAAATTCAATAAATTACCTGATGATATCAAAAGTTGCACAAATATCACCCAATTCAAAATCAAAGTCAAGAAACATATCCTCTTGCAAAGAGAAAATCAAACCTGAGTGAATGATTTCTCATTGACTAATTTATTTCATCATGTCATAATGTACTTTTCATGAGCTTTTTGTTTTATTCATTTTTTTCATATTCTGTTGTTTATTTCAATAACTATAATTTAATTTCATAACGCATGAATAATCTCATACCAGATATGAATCTGTCTGATTATTCATGTTATTCCATTGTAAATGTTAATGATTATATTTATATTTATATGAGATGCAATGTAATGTTTATAGCAAAGATTGAAATAAATGAATCAATGTAATTTCAAATCTTGAACTACCTCATCAAAAATCTTTGGAAGACTGTGAGGAAACTGCGAATGCAAAAATGCAGGCAATTTTGAATGAAATCAAGACCCAAATTGATAGTTTCGGTATATAATTCAATCAAAATTATAGTCAACTTCAGTGTTTAAAAACGCGAATCGATGACAAATTAAAAGGTATTCTAAGTATTGTTGCTAATTATGAGCAACGTATTTCTCATAATTCTTGAACTATAATCATTATACTTGTATTTGTCGAATATTCTGATCGATCATGCTCTATAAAGTGGTTTAGTATTTCATGAGAGCAAATATAAGTTTGGTAATTGGTTGAATTGTTCTTCCCATTCATTTACATTTCGCTCAGCAGAACTGGCTACTAAATCCTGAATCTTCTATTGAAAAACTAGTGCATCCTAAAATTAAATAAATTGACTCCACATATACCCTTTGTTAAGTATATCGAGAAATAAATTAAGTTACAAACTATGACCCCTTTTGGCCAGTGATATGAGACGCCTTTATGAAAAGAAAGACAGAAAAAGATATATGGATGTACCCTTCACCGCGGCAGTAGAGGAAAGAATATCCGTGCATGAAAAAGCATATCCATATCTTTGTTCAACCAAACCTTCAAAGTCATTTTGAGAATTTGGGGTTATGCCTTCTGTCACTGCTTGTCATAGTGTCCGTACTCGTATTACAGCAAAACTGTCAAATACATACAGGGACTCTAACTAATACCATCCAGTGACGATAAGATTCTATCGTTTGTGAAGTGTTTACATCGTCGATAAGGACATGTTTTGCATATCGAGTGTTTTTCAGGCTCGTTCAGCTGCAGACGCAGAAGAAGGTCTGCTCTTCATGCAAGAAATGGTGGAACTGTCCAAACAGCAGAACCAGCAGCCGGAGCCCGTTCCCCAAGCGGTCGTGATAACGATGAAAGACCAAAAAGGCCACGACAATCCCACCATCGTCATGCAAGCCGGACCCTCACAGTTCGGCAGAAACCTCAAAGGCGACCAACAGGTACTACCCTCCCTCTAGACGATACGAAAGAACTGTTGAAAAAAAATTATACAGAAATTCTGAGTTCGATTTTCTATCAACTAGAAGTAGGGAAAAAGAGTTGGCAAGGCAAAATATAATTAATGGTCTTCACTATAATGAGAAGTGCCTCTGATCCAAATACCGCTTGTAATAGTTATTTATGCACCAAGGTAGAAAAGAATATCATTATTACCCAGGGACCAAGATTATATCACTAGGCTTCAGCTTCATTTCTTCTTAAACGTTCTTTTTCCTATCAGATTTCTCAATATGGACCTATCGTCGGTGAATATCTTCAAATACAAATTCAAAAAACAATTAATCGAGCAACAATGATTGATAATAATGATTTTATTCATTCTTTGTTTTTTTTGTTTCTCTCTTTTTATTGTTGTTTATTCTACAATAGGTAGTCGGCACGCACATTGGTTTTCTTAGATAATATAAAAAGTAGTCAGTTGGACATATTTCATATTGTATCACTATCAATTTCTCTAGAGGTCTTTGCGGCATATTGATCTCACTTTATTTCTTTTTGATTATCGTAGTAGTAAAAACTTCACAAACGATAAGATTTCCACAAAAAACTCAAATACATGACATGTTTCCCTAACACAGTAGCTTCGTCAGGTGATATACTGGTACGATGAACTAAACTAACGTTAGCTTGCTTGACTTATATATCCTACTTTCCCAACCTGAAGGATAAGTTACCTGTGGACAGGTACGATAAACCTCCATTTTCGGAAATTAGGCACAATATCTACATTAAAATACGGTATTCCGGATTAACTCGAAAGAGTTGATAGTAAATACATATTATTACTTACTAAGAAAACAAATTCAAAAATGTTGAACTATTGAGGTCTAATTGATCATTAAGTGAAATGTCAAATAATAAATGATCATTATTATTATTAAATGTTGCATTTTATTTCAAAATGTTTCTTATCTTTGGTCGAACATTACTTCAAACTTTTGTTGTTGGCATTATTAGTAATTGTCATCATTGATTACTGTCTTTTTTTCCACTATCACTTAGCTAACTTTATAATTCAAAATTATTAAAATGTCATAAAGTGGAACATGAATCTCTCCAGGATAGAATAACATAAAAACCGTTAAAGGTAGCATTATAATTCGGCCGACTGGGAAGGTCTTCGTATTTTTATTCAGCGTTTCCATGGAAGAGAGTTCGTTTCTCCTCAGCAGATCCAACACGATGTGCTGAGACAATTTCTGAAATCATCATGTTGGGGATGCAAACCTACATACCGAACACTGCAAGGAGAACATCTTCCGATAAGGCCTGGTTCGGTAGAATGTTGTCCTAACGGATCCCGTTCATTTTGGTCCTTCGCCAACGCTGTAGGAAAAAACTTCACTTCCAGTTCGTTTTCTCCTCTAACCATGGAAGATGGAACAATAGCCACAACTGCCCAGGAGAAAACCAACATTTTGTGCATTTATTTGATAGAAATTCCACTCTGGATTCATCAGAAAAACAACCTCCAAACATAACGCCAATTGACAGTCATATGCCCGAGATCACCTTTCACTTACGTACTATAAGGAAGATTTTATTGGGTCTCAACACCAACAAAGCTTGTGGCCCCGAGGAAATCCCACCAATAGTTCTCAATAAATGTGCTCCCGAACTAACACCTGTTCTCTGCAAACTACTCTTACAAATTGGGAATATTCCCGTCCAACTGGACAACCATTTCCTAAAAAAGACAAAAGACCCTACCTAGCAACTACAGAGCGATCGCACTGCTATCTATTATTTCAAATATCATGGATAAACCTATCAACATCGAGCTCATGAAATACCTGGAACATTCAGGTATTATCAACGATAGGCAATATGGCTTCCGTCATCAGAGATCAACTCGTGACCTGCTCACTTACGTCTCACATATATGGCAGCAATCTATTGAAAAATATGGTGAAACCTTAGCCGTGGCACTTGATATCTCCAAGGCATTCGATCGAGTCTGGCACCACGGACTCCTCGCCAAGCTTCCATCTTATGGCTTGCCTCCCCAGCTATGTTCTCTGCTAGCTAGTTTTCTCTCAAACAGGTCTCTCCATGTAGTGGTAGACGGAGTTTCATCTGACTATCTTATCATAAATGCTGGTGTTCCGCAAGGATCAATTCTAGCACCAACACTATGTCTACTCCACATCAACGATTTGTTGGAAGCGACTTATGTCCAGTACACAGCTTCGCGGATGATAGTACCCTCCATACCGCCTTCTCTTCCAGGGCTCCAATACCAGCAAGGCAAATCAGAAACGAACAAGGGAGAAAAGTTGACAACATAAATATGGACTTGGCAACAATTCTCAAATGGGGGTCCAATAACTTGGTAGATTTCAATGCAAACAAAACACAAGCATGCCTTTTCTCTAGAAAAGCCGATCCCACAGAGCCCAACATAAGCTTGTCAGGAGTAACCATACCTTTGAATACATCCATTTCGATGCTTCTTGGGAAAATCACGTGAGATCAATTGCTAAAAGTGCATCCCTAAAACTTCCAGTCAGCTGCTTATGATCAATAAGGCACAGATCCGATCTGTCCTGGAATACTGTTCCCATATTTGGAGTGCAGCACCCAAACATACCCTGAAACTGTTGGATTCTGTCCAACAAAGGGCAATTCGTCTCGTGGGTGATGCCTTACTCACAAACTCACTCACTCCTCTGGAACACTGTAGAAAAGTTGGCGATCTGGCTCTATTTTATAGATATTTTCATGGACGATGCTCTTCTGAAATATCAACAATTTTCCCTTGGCAGTCCCTGCAAGATTAACCCGCCGAGTTGAGACTTCGCACCCTTTCGTGGTTACTTTGGAGACCTGCAGAACTCTTTCTAAAGACTCGTTCATCCAACGAACAGCGAGACTCTGGAACACATTGCCAAGGGAGGTGTTTCCCGAGGCATATAACCTCCAGGAATTTAAGAACACCAATTCCTACCTTTTTTCCCTTGGTTCTCACGATGTTCTTCGAACATCCAGGGATAACCTGTAATGTTCAGAGAACATAAAAAAGGTACATTTTCTATGTAAAATTGAACGGGATTTCAGATTTTTCACTTGTTGTGATCATCATTGAATGTACAAAGAAGACTTGATGTAATTTACCAAATTAACAGAGTACCACTAGTGCCCTTTATTAGCAATCACAAAATAAGTTGAAAATTCGTTTTCCTCATGTCAGTAAAACTGAAACTACAATATTTAATGTTCATGCTGTTGAAACCTAAAAGGTTATTGAGAAATGTATAATAATAGCTATAATTCATTTGCAGCAGGTACAAATTACAGACTTCTGAGACAATACTTATTTTATACCTATAAGTTATAGTTGAAGTTATAAAGTTGGAGTTTGAAAGTTATCATAGTCTACTAATGCTATTCTTACATCTATCAAATTATATATTATATTATCCTAACAGGCTAAACATTTGTATTCGTAATACTGTGTGTTTTCACACTGAGTGTAATCACAAACTTTTTTTGCAATATTTGCACTTGATTTTCATTGACGAAATTTTTGCGCGTCACTCATTTTCTAACCTCAAATATATGTGAATTCAAAAATAAGGTATCCCCCTACTTATCCTGTATATCCTAAACCAGCAATACTTGTATCGGGCATGTTCGCCTAAATCTCAATATTTTAGTGTTTACTATCTGTAGTTCAGAAATTTCCCATTCATAATAAATCACCCTGTATACTCTGTCTCTGATAGGTCACCGCCGGAGTGGTGCTAGTGCAGCCATTCCGTGGTTGCGACGGCATAAAGGCGCCCGAGCTCATCAAAGGGCGGATAGCCGTGATGGAGAGGGGTGACTGCATGTTCATCGACAAGGTGCGCAAAATACAGAAGCACGGCGCCGTCGCAGCGGTCATTCTCGACAATTCTCCAGGCAGCAGCTCGGCAGGCTCTCCCATGTTCTCCATGTCCGGCGATGGGAACGATGATGTCGAAATACCGGCTGTTTTTCTGTTCAATCAGGTAAACAATATGGATTTTCCAGACTTCAGAGGTGACATTATCTTATTTGCTGATGACACTATTTGTACAATAATGCTGAATCCGTCCCTTAACAATGCCAAAACCTAACCTGAATAGTTCACCCAATTTTGAAATCAAATATTATAACAAAAACTAGTCCGATTCTGGAACGGTTCATTCCATGTTGTGTTATGATAGGGACGTTCTTTTATTCACCGGTGGCTCTATCAATCCACCAACTGCGTTCATATATTCTTTGGTGGATTCCATTTTGACGTAACCACGCGTTTATTTATTACTATTGTGTCAACCGAAATTGCAAACCATTCCACCTATGTACAGAGATGGTGGACGAATTTTATAACCCCAAAAAACTAAAAACTAAATATTGGATTTGAAAGCTGTTAGTCATTTGCCTAAGAAAAAATATGGATTAATTTATCGAAATCAGCCTAGAATATGAAAATAAAAGAATAGCTGCATTATTGACACCAACAGAAATTGAAGAAATTTCGAGTGGTATGTACTTTTCCATTCCCATCATAAATTTCAAGAAACCAGTGCAAACATTTAGGAAACTTGAGTACCAACAGTATCATCATAATCTATGCAATGTTCTGTATAGGTTGTTGAGAATTTTCAACCTATCTCGTCTACTTCCCAACATAAACAATATTTATAATAATAATAATAATGAACGACTTTTATTTTTAATTACAATATAAACATATATAAATTATAGTTCAATGAAACTGATGACGAAGTTTAGCTTAAAAGCTATTCTACTTAACTAACAGCTATTCTACTCAACCAACAACTATTCTACTTAGCCAACTTTTTCATCCTTGGACTATTAGAAGACCTGCTAGAACTTTTGGATCTGGAGACAAATAACACTTTTAATACTTCATTTTCCATTTTACTTTAGGTTTCGAGCTTCTAATTGAAAACAATCTAAATCCTTATCAAATCACCAAAAGAAAAATAAATAACGGAAAAAACAGTTGTGACTGCCATGTCAATTAACTGTGTTTTTTTTTTCAACACTGATGACTCAACAATTTGATGCATCAGAGAGTGACGTCACTTCCATCAATGATAAATGTGGTGTTTCGTCACCTCTCATCTATTTCTTAGTTATATAGATCAAGTGTATATAATGTATATTCTGGTAATCTCTTTCTCTGAGAGTTTATCAATTAAATAGTTCACTTTCTTTTAATTTCCCGCGTACAATGCTGTGATTCTCAATTCCATATCGACAGTTGTACGAAGGAAAAAAGGAAGAAGACCAGCCAAGGACGATCGGTACCTACAATTAGCATTAGCATTAGCATTCTCATTCGTGTCGCCATACGGTACACATCTCGTTAATAAAAGGTACTCTCACTCTCTTTCGCTCATGAGCCGCGACGCATAGTACGTACTCTCTCGTGTAAGTGCACCGGTCGTTTGCATAACGGCATCGTGTATCAGTACATCTTGTAGCAGTTCCCGGACTATACCGTCGAACTTCAGTGACCATAACTTGGTAAGAAAATCACAGCTCGATGAATTTCAATATTAAACTCTTCTCTCAACAACGCCTCGTATAACGAACAAATGCAACTTAGTCGAGCAATAATTATACTATCTAGTCATTTCATACAGTCCACTATTCAACATGTGGTGTTAAAAAGAACATGCCATGATTGTTCGAGAATGAGATGGTCTACCTACTCTGCCCATAAAGTTTGTATTTTTATATCTACAGGGAGAAACAATGACAACAATTAATATTTTCAAAGTTATCCCAATCATATGGAAAATATTTCAATTTTTTTTCTAGGTCATATTATGATTGCTTGAAGTGGTTCGCCGAAACTAGGGTCCCTTGATGGAAATTGACGTTGAAGTCATCTTAACAGGGTACGGACAGATCCTCGTCTCCTCTCACTCTAAAGTGTTTGTGAAACAGTTATATAGTTCCATCCTTATTCAATTCTGGGGATAAACACTAGATTTTTGACATTCGATGTTTTTTAGGTTATATTGAGGTCACTGGCGTATCATACGTAATTTCCATATGAAATTCCTGATTCAACTATACCAAGATATAGTTGAACAATCCTCTAGTTTTAGAGTTTACCACTCCAGCCTTATCTTTGCGAGGTAGGGAACATATTAATTGTACTGGAAGCTTAATATATTTCACCAAAAGAGATTGTTCTTAGACTGTATACCTGGGTTGACTGAATTGACTAAATGAATTCTGATTTCAAGCTGAGCAGAAGTTTATCTTTGAGCTGAATGAGCTGAGCCTTATGACTGAGAAATAGTGGAAACATCAATGTGGGTATCTGAATTATTGTACACTTGTCATGTGTGCTGAATATATTTTCGGAATTCCAATTCGGAGAAGAATTTATGGAGTGACTAATATCACACTATGTGTAAAACTTCGTCTGGGACGGAAAGTAGGCTGATAAAAACTGATACTTGAAATGTGCAGAAAAATGAAGAATAGAATATACTTTATCCCCATGTTATACATATGATTTTTCCGTCTCCCTTAAATAAAAAGTCATTTTCGAATAATTTATTGATGAAAGTAACAGAGAAGTTGGTATATGCAGTATAACTTATAGGAACGTTATTTTTACTCTTGCATCCTACATATTTGTGGTAAAGTAATAATTATATGAACTAATGTCTTTCACCATATTGGATCCGTCATCTTGAATTTTCAAAATTTGACGAAACATCATCTCCTACCCCGAAAACCCCCAGATACCAATTTTGAATAGAATCGGATCTTTATTACAAAACTCGTCCACCATATCGCAGCCGCCATCTTTAACATCCCAATTTTGACGAAATTATTATAATCTCCGACCCCGGAAATCCCCAGATATCAATTTTGATTTTTGTATAGAATCGAATCATAATTACAAAATTCGTTCGCCATATTGGATCCTCTATCTTGAATTTCCCAATTTTGACAAAAACTCATGAACTTCGACCCCGAAAACCCTCAGATACCAATCTTTAATAGAATCAGATTATAATTAGAAATTTCTTTCGCTATATATTAGATCCGTCATCTTGAATTTTTCAAGTTTGACGAAACAATCATCATCTCCAACCCCGGAAATCCCCAAATACCTTCCAATTCTAAATAGAATCGGATCAGAATTACAAAACTCGTTCGCCATATGATCTTCCTCAACAATTAAATACCCTGTACACAACTATTATTAAAATCTGAATGATTTTCTGTAGCGCCCATGGATGTGACGTGACAGCAATGTCAGGGATGCCAGTAGACAAAACTAAAGTCTCTGGATCATTAAAAAAGAATGCAGCTATGATCTGTCCGTACCCTGTTGAGATGACTTTAACGTCAATTTCCATCAAGGGACCCTAGCCGAAACGGTTTCGAGTTTTTTTCGTTAGCATACTTCATTGACGCGCAACATTTTTTTTATAGAAAGTTGACGTTCTTTTGAAGTGTGATTGATGTCAGCTGATCTGTTCATGTAATGAGATACTTTATTCATGAAATCGATACAGGGAGATATTCATAATTTCAATTTCTTTGATAATGAGCGAATATCGATCCACAGGGTGATTCGAGATACTGAAGAATCGTAAAATTCGGTCATGCATATTGTGATTTCAAATTTGAATGCTCTATATTGACGTAAAATCATTTTACATCATTTCTGGTATAATCTTTAAACTCCTGATGGAATGTTGATAGAATATTTTCTCGAATGTTGAAATCATTATATCGTTATTATATTATTATATGTTATATTCCCTGACACTATATAGGAAGAACATTTTCGAGCGTGAGAATTGTAATCGAATATAAAATATGAAAATAAACACAGTTTCATATTTTTCTGTGAAAATTCTGTATACTTTGTGTATCTATATTGCCCTATATCTTCTATTTCGATTGTTGTGTCATTGTTTGATAGTGTCACTAGCAACAATTATTATCATATTGGATCCGCCATTTTGAATTTCCTATTTTTGACGAATAAATCATAATCTCCGACCACGAAAATCCCCAGATAACAATTTTGAATAAAATCTGATTACAAAACTCATCTGCCATATTGGATCCGCCATCTTGAATTTTCTATTTAAAAAATAGATTACGACCGATTCTCATACCTACCGAATATGCCCAAAAATTTTATAAGAATCGGTCGAGCCGTTTCGTAGGAGTTTGACCACTAACACCGTGACTGGGACAGGAGAATTTCATATAGATTACAAACTTTGTCAACAAGTGAATATACAGGGTGAGTCATGAGAAACTGTACAAACTCCTACCACGAATAGAGGCCCCTGAGGGGAATACCGAATGTCCACCAGAACGTGCCTTCTACACTTCTTCTCCAATATACAGTGTGTCCCACTTACCATGCTCACCATGGGTATCTTTTTAACGGTGAGAGATACGAGGTCGGTTAAATGACACCAAATGTGAAGTTTGTCAAGGCCAACTATAATAAGAAAAAATATTTCGATAAAATCTATTCGTTTTTGTTTTATACGCAAAAAACAGATTTTGATCATTTTCATGTCTCCTTCATAACTTCTTTATTTATGAAAATATTCAAAAAGGAATTTCACATTCTCATGGCAGTTTTTCAAAGTGATTTCGAAAAATATATGAAATTCTTATAAACTCTTCTAGAATTTGAGATATCAGCACCAACTTTAGTTTTTCAAATGTAGGTCATAGCTCACTATGACTCAGCTACAAATAACTTTTTTCTCTCTTACAGATGATGTATCGCAGTAATGTAATGTGTTGATAACAACGGAGTTATCGTCATTTATACAAAAAAAAATTATTTGGAAGCCGCCATCTTGAATTTATAAATTTTAACTAAAAAATCATGATCTCCGACCTCAAAAACCCCCACTTACCAATTTTGAATGGAATCGGACCAAATCTTGTCCTCCATCTTGGAGCAGCCATTTTTATTAATTTCAACAGAAATTCCATAATGTATTGTTATCGAAATCATGAACACCTGCCAAATTTCAAGTTAATCGGAGATGGCATTTTTGTTGAAATTAAAAAAAATGGCTGCTCCAAGATGGCGGACAAGATTTGGCACGATTCCATTCAAAATTGGTAAGTGGTGGCTTTTGAGGTCGGAGATCATGATTTTTTTGTTAAAATTTATAAATTCAAGATGGCGGCTTCCAAATAATTTTTTGTTTTTGCATAAATGACGATAACTCCGATGTTATCAACACAAAACTATTACTGCGACATATCATCTGTGATAGAAAAAAAAGTTATTTGTAACTAAGTCATAGTGAGCTATGACCTACATTTGAAAAACTCAAGTTGGTGCTGATATCTCAAATTCTAGAAGGGTTGGTATAAATTTCATATTATTTTCTAAATCACTTTGAAAAACTGCCATGAGAATGTGGAATTCCTATTTGAATATTTTCATAAATAAAGAAGTTACGGAGGAGACATGAAAATGATCAAAATCTGTTTTTTGCGTATAAAACAAAAACGAATAGATTTTATCAAAATATTTTTTCACATTATAGTTGGTCTTGACAAACTCCACATCTGGTGTCATTTAACCGACCTCGTATCTCTCACCGTTAAAAAGATACCCATGGTGAGCATGGTAAGTGGGACACACTGTATAGGGTGAATTATGAGAATTGGCAAAAACATCTTTTGGTCATAACTTTCCAGCAGCATCTTCTATTCGTCTGATTTTTTTTCATGGAATATTATTCCGCTACTACTCTCTAATCGACTGACTTATTCAGAATCGGGAAATTCCAGGACCGTTCTTGCAAAATTTTGATAGTTTAGTTTATAGCAAAACGTTCATTCTGTATATCGTTTTGTAAACTGTGACAGGGAATTTTCAAGGGACACAAACATCAAAAATGAAATATTTCAAAATTTCCTCCTTCACTCTTTCACTGCAGTTTGAAAAAAACTATAAATTTTATGAAGAAACGAAAATTTGGCAAACAATTCATTTATTTGGAAATTAATACTTCGCAACCCATACATTTTTTTGTGGAGGATCATAATTACCCTGTAGATCTTTTTAGAATCAGTGGATGAGGTATATGTGAAAATGTTGATGGCCATCATAAATAATTTCATGATTTCAATTCACAGTTTCGTCTATTCGATTTGTTTTATTCAGTTAATTTGGTCATTTATTTTCCGTAATAGAATTATTATCCGCCTTTGTCAGTATATCTTTTGAAAATTGATTGTGAGTAAACCTTTATTTTCTGGTCGACTATCTTGAATCATTTGAATCGATGACCATTAACATCTAAAGAGATACCCCATCCACTGATTTGAAAAAGATCTTCAGGGTGATTATAACCCTCCACAAAAAATGAAATGACGAAATCCAGGCCTGGAAATGAAAGAACATGTTGATTTTCATTGGGATAGAGCATTGAAAATGTGAGTCTTACTTTTTTTCGTGACATTTAAGCGTTGTGAAGTAATTATTTTCGAATTAATAAAATGTGTTGTCAAACTATCGTTTTTGCTCATAATTTATTGTTTTTTGAAAAGTTCTGTGAAATTTTTGATGCATGTTTGTGTGCTTCAAAATTTCCCTGTCACAGTTTACAAAAACCATATACAGGATGAACTTTTTGATAAAAACTAAACTATCGAAATTTTTTAAAAACGATCCTGGATTTTCCCGATTCTGAATAGGTCAGTCAATTAGGGTTTAGTAGAGGAATATTCCATGAAATAAATCAGACGAATCGAAGGAGCTGTTGAAAAGTTATGACCAATTGATCTTTTTGCCAAATCTCATAATTCACCTTATATATTTTTAAAGAAGAGAAGAAGACACTTTCTGATGGTCATTAGGTATTTCCTTCAAGGGCCTCTTTTCGTGGTAGGAGTGTGTACAGTTCCTCATGACTCACCCTGTATAATGTATTCATGACAATAAAGCATATTTTATTTTGAATTGAATTGAAAATAGGAATCGTCGAAGTTGATGCTCGCGCTGTCCAAGGACCCGCAGCTGGAGGTCACCATCAGAGAGCTGAAGGAGTCGGATAATTTTTCTCACAACGACGAGGAGAGTATGTTCCAGAAGCTGAAGGTATCCGTCCAGGAGTTCCTCAACAAGCACACAGGGCTGGAGTTTACGAAAACTGTGGAGTTGGGCGGGTTCAGGGCTAGCATCGGCAACAATAAGGTTAGTTTCAACTCCGTTTCGGAGTTATTGCATCACATCAAGTTTGTAGTATGATGAATGGTGATACCTTTTTGAATTTTCTATGTTGGCATAATCCCTGTAATTTTATCGATGAGCATGTGTTTTCAAAGTGTCAAATATTAGCAGTGACACATTCAGGAAATCGGTAGTGTAGATCTGAGAAGAAATCTGATTTGTATAAACCTATAAGAGCCTATAAGAAGTATACTTCCAAATTTTGAACAAAATCTGTGGACCACATTTTTGAGAAAACGAGTATTTTGGATTTTCTGAAGAACTGTCATCAAAACGAAATGCTACTATTTTTTTTTCACAATTTTTGAACATATTTCTATAATTACAAAAGGCGAAGAAAAACGCCCTGTCAATTCGGTAACTGTTGATCAAAATAATATTCTCCACCATGTTCTGAAAGATTATCAACATTAGAATCATATATGTGTGATTACCAAAATGAAAGGGTATAAATTATTTTTTTAAATATATTTATTCTTCTGGTTAAAATTCCGCACCAATGTTTTTATGTTTATGGTCTATTTACCATTTTCTTTTACGTGTGGTTATTCATCAATTCTATCATACTTCAAAAGTGCTAGATGTTCTCCAAACCTAGTCTAAATTGGTCTCCTAGTTCAACCGATATATGTAGGAGAACAAATACGGTTAAATATAATTTCATGCACTTGACTTTTTTCAATCGACTATACTTCAAAAACGTGCAATATATTCTTTGAATCTAGCTTTGATGGATTTTCTAGTTTGACCTAAGTGTGTGAAAAAACAAATGTGGTTTGATATGAATTCGTACACTTGATTCATTCAATCTAACCCTTCAGATGTACAAGATGTTTGCATTAATGGGTTTCCGAGTTTGACCCACATACAGGGATCGGCATAAGTCAGGCAACGCTCTCGAAATTTCGACATATGTCCGGCAACGCTCATAAGTCTGGCAACGCTGTCGAAAAAGATCGACCCTGAGCATGTTCGTGCGTCAGATAGTTGTGTCTGTGTGCTCGTCGAATACGTTTTCAAAATGAATAACCGATACAAGTTTACGCTTCAAGAAAGAATTTTTTTTGTAACCTCGTATCTGCGTACGAACGCGGATTACGACACTATGTTTACCGAATTTCAAAAACAATTTCCGAACTCGTTTTGTATTTTTTTTTTAATAAGTATATTTTGACGCTGCATTTATTTATCTTAATACAAATTGGTTGCCTGATGCAAATTGGTTGCCTGACTTATGCCGACCTGTAACGTTCACTTTTAGCTATCGTACCGTTTTTGATAAATTGATTCACTGATTCTGCGGAGACCTAAGATTCAAAGTTTATTGCCTATCGCACTCTTTAATCAACTTCTGGTCAACCTCCTCATATCGTGACCTTTGTTGAGGTTTAGATGATAATGGTACCTAGGTTACTTACTTGCCTAAACTTCGCTAGCCATAATTTGATTCCTAGTACTCGGGTCTGTTTGTTTCCATACCTAAGACTATCTCATTTGAATTAGAGATAATCAAACGCTATATTTAGTATGTCGAAATTAGAGAACTCACAGTAAAGTGTACAGATCGTGTACATATTGTACATAGTTTCATTCCGAACAAATCGACTAGCGGAATCAGTTATGAAATAATTTCAATCAAATTGATGGTTTGTTTTGGTCTAGGTGACTAGGTTAGATCATTATGTTGATCAGCTGATCGGTGGTTAGAGATGTGAATATTTCACTCGATAGTGTTGAACAGGACCACAGTATCGTGAATTGTATGTGGCTGCGGCGGGCACACTGCCTCGATACAGGACGTTCGCTTGGTGAGAATGGTGGACCTTGGTACCCATATAGTGCACGTTTGGAGTAGCTGAGTGGTTGATGACGTCATGGGTTGGATAATTGACTTCCTGCTGTTACAGGTTTATTACGAGCTGTGATGCATCTCCAAATATTCAATTTATTGTTATCATGCCCAGATTGATGTTGTCATAATAAGGTCTATAGAACTCAGGTAGTGCTTAGACACCAAGGTTTGTCATGTTCTGTACGTTTTGTCCTTGTTCGGGTCTGACAGGTGTTTCTATGCTTCTGTGGTGGATCAATGAAAGCTGTCACTTTGTACTTCGAAGTCTTTGGCAATGAGTAGTGAAATATGGCTGTAAGCCAATAATATTGAATTTAAATTCATCCTCTGAATGAGGGATTAGGTTTCACTCTCAAATACCAGTTTCCATGTAGGAAAATTTTTAGGTATCGTTTGAGGTATATATTTTCGGAAACTGTCCATTTTTATGGGATTATAGAGCCATTGACAAAAAGTGAGGTTGGAAACACATGTACAGAAAACCCTTTTTCAAGGGAAAAAGGTAAATTGAGTCGATAGCTGAATTAATTGATCAGTGAACTGATGGCTAAAATACTTTTCAGACCAGTATTAGTCAAGTTTTGAGTGAAATCCATCTTTTGGAATGTTGATGTCTGATGGCCCCCTTTCAGGACTCCCAGGCGGGATCATACTGTAATTATTTGTATATACTGCTGAGTTTTGAGTGATACTGCGTCCTTGAAAAAGGTATGAACTTCCAGAAGTCTGGAACCAGTGAGTATAGGACTTTCTTATGTTTCAGGGTTGTTGTGACAGATTGTTGTGACAGATTGTTGTGACAGATTTTTGTGACAGATTCTTGTGTTCGATTTTTGAGCCAGCCTTTTGCCTGGAGTTTGAGCACTCATAGTAATGGTATACAATTTGAGCTGCTTTTGATGTTAGTTCCGATAACTGGTATCCTGTCCTGTAACTGGTATCCTGTTCTGTAGCTGGTAGCTGCAGCGGTATAGTTGAGCCAGTCCTGTAGCCTGTGATTTGACCATGGATGTCACGCAAGTTTTTCATAATCTTGTTCTGAATTACCATGTCTCATTTGGTTTGACATATTGTTCATGATTATTATCTTATGATTTTTTTTTTATGATATTCACCTGTTAACGTAACAGGCACGGTTGCAACCTTGCGTTTTACGGAGTTAGGTATATGAACTGGGTAGGGCATATGATTTTGCATTACTTATAATATAGCATAGGTATTGCTATGAATTTATGAACATTTAGTTTCTGGGTGGGTTTTTATGTGGATTTTAAGGGTATGGGATAAAACTGGGATTTAAATATTATGTAACACTTGGGTGATATACAGTCAGGTTTTGATTTGAACATTTAAAATATTCAGTATTGAGGAACATAGTTGCTAGTAATGTTCAGAGATATAGCACTTCAATTGTAAATCAGTATTATCATGTCAGGTGTTTCAAGAATATAATTATTAAATGGTATAGAGTATTGGGAAAATGTCTTGTCTTGTCTTGTAATTTGATAACGATAGCTGTTGTAAGATATTAACCATGGTAAGTGGGGTTAATATTGAATCATTGTGAGGGTATGCAGTCCACATTTACCTGGCGCCCTTATTAACATCTATTATTTTGAGTATATCTGAACCCACTCCATCTCCACTGCAGTTCAGTCGCGAGCCCATATCCTCTGTCAGCAAAGGACAGATATATTTGTCAATCTCGAAGTAAGATTGTTACAGACCCCTGTATATTATTATGCATTCTTACAACTGATTTCGTGAATTTCTCATTTCTAAAGTGTGCTTAGTTTGTCTTTTGAATTGCCTAGTAAATAGTCTAAAATTGAATCTCTGTTTAGTGCAAAGGAATGACACACTACTGCACTTCTCTATGCGCGAGAAAATCTAGATGAACTATCTCGTTTTGAAAATAATGGCCAGAGTTTTCAGCAATGTGTTGAAAATCATCAAATACTAAGTTGTGTTTGTAAATTTTGATTAATCAATTTTGATGTTACTGTGAATTTTCTTCAAGTTAGTTCTCCACTAATTAGTTTACTTTTTGAATTAGAGAGCATATAAAACATTTTAAAGCTGCGAACGATGGAGAAATCGATGAATCTACATAGTATGAATAAAGGTATGATAAGTTTTGCTGTTTTGTAATTAAATCCTAACAAGCTCAAACTGAAAACAAAAGGAAAAACAGAAGAAGAATGCATAACCTTCTGGGTGACAAACAGAAACAATCAAGGAATTACAATTTTGTAAATTAAAATTCCAATATCTCAAAAACTGTGAGGCTTTTACTGAGGTCAATTTGTGAATTTTTGATAGGTCATGAGCTTGTTCATTACCAGCTCAAGTATGATCCAAGGTTCACTTCATCAGTTGCCTCGGTCATTTCTAGATCACTGTTGCTATAAAATTGACAATTATATTGTCAGGATACAATATTCGCTTTTTCGCAATTCAGTATATCCCACATCTTCCAATTTTCCATTGGAACATTCTTTTCCCACTCATCCTCCCCGAACTTTGTAGGTTATCAACTAGGAAAAAGCCGAATACTCAAAGTGGAATGCAATGGTCACAAAGAGAGAGAAACTTGAAGTCATCACCACAATAGTTCATAAAATGAACGAAAATTGTAGATAACGAGAGAAGAACAATTACTTTCCTGGCTATATGCCAAGTAGAACATTGAATTACATCCACTTGATATCTATGCAACGATTTGTAAACACGAATAAGATTGCAAATGTTTCCTTCCTGAATGCTGAATTGTGCTTAAATTGTTCAGAAACGCATGGACCATCTGCAGACCGGTTTCAAGCTTTTGGCTATCATCAGTACAGGGTTGTCCCCCAGATAGCATTATTGACCGCTATCTGGTGCGAACCTAACCCAACGTAAACGCATCTCCGCAATTGATAACCCCACGAAGTGGTCCATGCGTTCCTGAACAATGCAAGCACAATTCAGAATTCAGAAAGAAAATATTTGCAATCTTATTTGTCGTTACGAATCGTTGCATAGATATCGAGAGGATGTAATTCAATGTTCTGCGTCGCATATATCCAGGAAAGTAGTTGTTTTTCTCTCGTTATCTACCATTTTCGTTCATTTTATGAACTATTGTGGTAATGACTAAGTTTCTCTCTCTTTGTGACCATTGCATTCCACTTTAAGTATATTTGGCTTTTTCCTATTCCTATCATTCTCTCTTTTTGTAGGTTATGGTGACGTATGCCGGCTCCGACGGTGACGTTCCTCTCGTTAAAGACGCCAGCTCGAACGGCCAGTGGGCCAAGATCAGAAAAGGCTTACTCAAGTCAATCCTCGGCTCAGAATCCAAAGAACTCATCGTCCCGCTCAACATCCTGAGGATCTACCATCAGACGCTGGGCGGGGCCACTGGCAAAGGAGACGTGGTGGAGCAGACCAAGTGGCTGCTCAATGAACTGTTGAAGGAGTATCAGACTAAGGAGGATCAGACCAAGGAAGACGATTTGGTGAGGTTAGAGGCGGAGGAGGATCGAGGAGCGTCGGTGATAGCGGATACGGTCAAGCAAAATTTCAACAATTTCAAAGACGTGAGTTCTATGTTGAAGTCGGTTAATTTCGAGAATCTGCAGGAGACGAGGGAGATTTTGGATAAGGTCATCGATAAATTAAAATTGGAAACTTCTGATGAGATTATAGTGTCCAGTAGTGAGAGTGTTGAGGATAAAGTGAAAAATGCAGGTGATAGGAAACCTGACTCCAGGACAACTCATTCTGTAGACGAGTTATGATTAATATTGCATTTGAATGTTTAGGATGCGAATTTTATTGTGTAAATTCATTTATTATTCTCAAGTTTGGACAGGGGATGGAGAAGTAAAATTGAGATGATTATTTTTTCATCAGTTCCTTTACCGAGGACCTCCTGTTGATGTGATAATATGATAGCAATTTAATTTATACCAAAAATGTTTCCTATTTAAAAAACGAACGTCGCATAATAAAGATTATGGATGAGATTCAATCTTTGTTTAGTATTTAATACTTTATGTCTAGGTTATCAATTATTTCCCTTGTTTATAGGTATAAAATATTGTTACTTTGCGTCTCATATTCTACACTATATTGTATATAATTATAAATATTATATAATTTATAAATTGTATAAACTTTTAAAAGAAATATTTTTATATACTTATTGAAAAATTGTTGAGTGTAAATAAACATTTTATTACTTGGCAAGCAATATTTGGAATTTCACACACCCAAACTCATCGACCGTTTCCAGAATGATATTTGTTAATCAAATTTGAAAATATTAGTGACCTGGCAATGCCCAAATGAATCAAAATAACTAGAAAACTAGGCAATGTTTCTGAGTCTTTCAAGGAATCCGTGAGTTGGGGAAACTACTTTCTTTGGTGATTCTGATGTTGATTGGGATTTAATTTTTCTAAGGGTGGAAAGAATACGCCTGCTTTTTCTTTCGTTGACATATCGGAGCAAAACGTTTCATCTCAGCGGGGTATCTGGGATAATATGCTCTATCCCCCCCCCCTCGACGTTGAATTACGAGGAAACCTTTGTTCGTGGACGTCAGCGTTCAGTTTGTGAGACGCAAGAGTTACCCCTGGTTACGCTAGTAGATCTATTTGAACATTGAAATTTAGTTTTTCTACATTCATGCAAAAAGCAGAACTTTATTGAACTATATTTAGTTGTAAAAGAAGTTCTTTATTGCACTTAGTGCAATAAAGTTTTTATTGCACTCATCTGTCATTCTACTCCAACGTGCTGTCATCATGACAAACATGTTTATATTGCAACTGTGGTTATAGAAACGTCATATATTCATATTGAAAATTGCACCAATTGTTCATTCACTTTCAACATTGAGGGTAAAAATAAAGTTTGAGTTAAATTGTTCGTAACGTATTAGTTCCTGTTTCAATGCAAATCAATATCAATAATAAAGTATTCAAGTTGCGTTTTTCATTTTCCTACACTTAGTGCCGCACCTCAATAAATCATTTTTTGCTTCTTGCATGAACGTAGAGAGAAAATGTATGCAACTCGTGCAAAAATTGTTTATTGCACTTGTTGCATAAATAACTATTTATCAACATGAATATTAACTTCACCTCATTGAAATATTGACAACATGTATTTTCATTTCATTGAAATATTATATAGTGGAAATTAATTCATTTACGTCATTCTCATTCGCTGCTTAATCATGCGCAGTTTACGACTTTGGGCCCAAGGTACTGAGACTGAAGTTTTTTTTACGCAACCAGGTGAATAAGTAGTGAAGGTTTATTGATAAACTTAGAGATATTAATTTCCACTCATGCTGCTATACAATAATTTTCCATTTTCTGACAAATCGTGCCCATGTATCAGGTGTGATAATTTATTTTGTGTATTTTGTCGCTAATATAATGTTTTCATTGTTTGACAATAATTTAGCTTAGCCCCTTACTGGTAGGTAGCTGATTTTATTGGAGGTAAAATTTGACAATTGCATTAGATCAATTTTGGTGATTTGCGGTTTAGTGCGGTGAGAGTATTCGTAGGGAGAAGTCACCTGGCGCCCAATAAGTATTATCAACCATCCACTCCCGTCTCCACTTGAGTCTGGCCGGAGTCGAATACTTGGTGAGTCATTATGACATCCAAAATCGTGTGACGTGTTTAGGGAGCGTTACAGGCGATAGGATCCCCTTTTATTATCCTCGTTTCAACATGTTATCACATGAAGGAAGTATGTACGGAATAATATCGCTGTGCCGTGGATTTGGCTAAGACTAGGTAGGTTTTTGAATTCTACCATTCAATTGGTATCGGATGACATAATTCTCATCTCGTTATCAAATCGCGAAATCGAGTGCAAATTTCCGGACAGGAATGTGCAATTTGATCATTCTGCGCAGGATAGTGATTAGCACAGGTGCCTTTCGATGAACTACAATGTTTTTACTTTCCTGTGGGACATTATAATTTCGTTATCAGATGACGAAATAATTTGCAGCCGGCTCTTGGACTACTGAGACCTCAAGTTTATTGAAAAAGTGTTTCTTTTTCAGACACAGGAATCAACTTTGTCGTAGAGCCTTCAAATTTGGTATTTAAGGCCCTATAGACATAATCTAGTGCAGACTAGTAGCACAGCTCTCAAGTCCTAAACAAAATGTAATTTTTGACTCCAACATTTTTTCGTCACAGAAACTATGGAAATTGATGAAAATTCCAGCTATTTTAGACGAATAAATGTCAGTAGATAGTGAATCGAAAGTTAGGATAAGGACATGTAAGCCGTTTTGATCGATAATGAATAGTTTCGACCCAAAAAAATCCTAAAATTGAAAAATCTCGATTTTGAACACCCTATCTATATCTCGTAATGGGCTTATATCACAAAAAAATGTATTTCATAATTTGATAGAAGTCACTCAAACTAGCTCAACACTGCAAACCGTTTCTTGCTGTGAGCTCCCTACGTTTCATAAAAAATTATTGAAATCCCCGATTTTTCGGACCTCTGAAAATGAGGCGATGATGTGACGTCAAAACCCTAATACTGAAACAAGACTATTTCAGACAGAGATGAATGATACATGATTTCTGACAGAGTGAATTAGCGCGAGATCACAGTTGAAAGAATAATTAATATATCAGTTGCCTCAGCCTCTCTCGGGCGTTTGATATTTTCTTTTGACTATGGCGAGATGAGGTTTCTACGACATAAGAGGGTCCGTTTTCAGAAGATACTATTATTTATGTCCAAAAATAAAACATTCCAGTTAATTTTTCGATCGAATCATGTCGTCAATCATTATTTATGTAAAAAAGGATCATTATAAACATGGTTTGAGTTAAAAGTTCTACTAAGGTGTACACGCCCATTATTCCTGCTAGACCCTGAGTGAAATCAGTTTTTTGGGAAGAATCTAAAAATTTAATAAAATACAGAGTGCTCCGTTTAAAATAACGAAGTTGCTAGTTGTTTCTGATAGAAGTGGCAGCACTGTATCGATGAAAATATTTTAGATGGATAGAGAATGTTCAATTATCAAAACATCCCAATTTTCAGAATGTTCTGTCTTTTCGTTCTACAGATACTTCTAATAGATCATCCACCGTGGTTCACCCTGTATAGCGATCCTCTAGTGCGGACTAGAAGTACCGTTCTGAAGTACTAAAATTTGAAAATGGAAATTTCTTACCCCATTTTGGAACAAAATTTTTATATCTCAAAAACTATAGAAGTTAATGGAAATTCGAGTTGATCGACGTAGATTTGATAACCTTCTTATTAGTTTGGGTAGGTTGAAACTGTTGAAAGATATGTTACTAGATCTGGTAATTTAGAACCTTTCTGATGTCCAGTGCAGTCTCCAAAGAAAGTAGCATCTCTTTTTGAACACTTTAAATACTTGGGAAGTAGTATCATTATTTATACACCCACACTGATAACAATATTTTCCGATGATGAGTATTATTCACTAAGAAATAATATAGGTACTGTAGATATTTAACAAAGTTTATTACATACAAATGTTTACAAAAAAAAAACATAGTATATTCATAGAAAAAATATCCACAAAACGAAACTAGTTAAATAAAGTCTAAAAGTTAAATTATTGCATTGATTTTGCATAACAAATATTCACTAAATAATAAATATTCGAAAAATAATCCCTCGTCAAATAGAAACAACAATATCTAAAAAAACCATTACTATAAAAAAACTAATATATATAATCTTATTGTTATTTTATTGTCACTTTTTTTCATTAAAGGACTTTTTCCATTCAACGAACATTTTCTTCATATCTGCTAAAGCTTCTTCGATTTTTCTAGCAAACCGGTGACAATCCTGCAAATCGTTTTCAAAATTCAATGTCAAAATATTACACAAGACGTCAGAGAAGTGCCCAATTTTTATTTTAGTAGGCAGAAAATAAAAAGTGTATTTTTTGAGGGTGTCTCAAATCTAAAAGTGTAAGTCGATTGAGAATAGAAATGTACCAAATTTTTCTGAGGTAGTAAAATATGGAAAATATAAAAATCTTCCGGAATCAAAAAAAAAATATCGACTTTAAGGGAATACTAACTTCATTTCTGAGTAGGTTCAAAACTTTCGAATCCTCGACTTTTTTCGGAAAATTTCATAGTCAAGTATGATACATAGGGTGGGGCAATCGCATCAAGAGTAATATAGTAAGTAAGCTTCCATATACCTTCAATATTAACGGTAATGTTTGATGGGCAGGAGTGTAGCAAACATATTTGAAAAAATTGGAAGTCACTCAAAAATGGATTTTGAAGATTATTTATTTCCAACTGACCTTTCAGAGAAAGAATCCCAACAGATGGATATTAATCAGCTTTATAAGAAACAAAAACAAATCATTGAAATATAAATCTAATAAAACAATTGCACAAAGAAATTATAAATATTTGGTTCCTTATTTGTATAATGAAATTCCGCGAGATATTGAAAAAGTCAAATCATTTTATTGCTACAAAACTAAAATAAAAAACTGGATATTAGTCTCTTCAGGGAGTTTATTTGCTTCTCTGGTTAATATTTAATATCTATATATACGAAATTTGAAACAGTACAATTCAGTACTTACACACAATGATTGAATGAAAAACAATACACTTTTATTAATAAATTACTTTTGTTTGGAATTCATCAATTGATTTAATAACCATAATTTTCATTTTATATATCTTACATCAAATTATACTTCGTAAGGTTTTCTTTATTTACTCAATACCAATATGTATAGTTTTAATTAATATTATGTCAACATTTTTAATAAATGTCATTATTATGATTGTTATTATTATTATTAATCACGTTGTGATTTTTTTATCATCCCCTACAGATGCATTCTTGAAAAATTCAAAGTCATAAAATCAATAAAAAATATCGTTGTAATTGCTCCAATTGACTATACCTACATACAAAATTGTTTCACCTTCGTTTAGTTATATTTGATAATTTGAGTTTGACGCGTAAAATCACTTGAAATATGGATTTTTTGTATCACAAATTCGTATTTTCCTGGCACTGAGAACTAAAAAGTGTCAGGACATATACGAATTAGCGATACAAAAACTCCATTTTTTAGGTAGAAAACGGGTGCAGGTTCATTCCCGAAACGTCCAAAGCTAAGTAAAAATTTGATATACCTTTATTTCTCTTCTCCAAACTTTTTTCAATACAAATTGTCACTGACAAGTTGGTGAATTTTTCTTTTAGGCTCCTTTAAACGCAGTGACATTTTGGGGCAAATCATCTGTTGGCTACAGGGTGTAGAAATATTCCAAAAAAATATCAAATTTTCTTTGTATTTTCGATTTCTTGTGAAATATTTCAATTAGGTTAATCAAGGAGGTGGTACATTCATTTTACTTGGTTCTTTGGGATTTTCTCTCCTCGTTTCTATAAAATAAAAGTATTCGTATTATTTCAATATATTTGTAGAGGGACAAATAAGATGATTTGCCCCAAAATGTCACTGCGTTTAACAAATTTTTCTATCAGGGAGTCTAAAAGAAAAATCCAGTAGCTTGTCAGTGACAATTTGTAGACTAAAATCACTCATTCATATGCCAACATCAGTATGACACTGTAAAGTGTCAAACTATAAGCAGCACAACTTTCAAAGAAAAATAATTTGCATTTACATGTTGAGAACGGGAGCAGAATCGGTCCCGAAACGTCCAAAGATAAGTAAAAATTCGATATTCTTTCAATATATCTATATTTCTTTCCTTCAAACATTTTTTCAAACAAATTGTCACTGACAAGCTACTGGATTTTTCTTTTAGGCTCCCTGATAGAAAAATTTGTTAAACGCAGTGACATTTTGGGGCAAATCATCTGATTTGTCCCTCTACAAATATATTGAAATAATACGAATACTTTTATTTTATAGAAAGGAGAGAAAATCCCAAAGAACCAAGTAAAATAAATATTTCAATGCTACTCTCATATACATACTATACGGTAAAAAATGAAACGTTTCAAAACACAATTGTTCTTAATAAAGTTTTGTATTTATTGTGAACAAGGAATATTCTGTAGGATTTATGACTTCCAATCTTGAGACACTTTTACCTAAATATCATTGCTAAGGAGCCTTTATTCCAGAAGCCGAAACAATAATGGTCTTTTCTGTCATTATTTTATCTTTCACGAAAATTTCAAATGTTGAGCCATAAATTGAGAGATGTATTTAACAAGAAGTTTGTTCATCCGTGTGTCATATATTTAGATTTCCTAGAGATTTTCCATAGATGAAAGGTGGCACATGACATTTCAACTACCACTACGATGTCATAATCATTCATAGTAGCCCTGTATAGTTTTGTTTTTTCTTTTTTCCGTTCAGTAATTCATTTCCAAAAATATCCATACGAATTCTTGCTCAACTGCTTGACTTGCTTTTCATAGTTTATGAATGAACGAATTGACATTTCATCCAAATAGGGGCTGTCATTAAATATTCATGAAGGCAAAACGTAAACGCGAATCAAAATCGTATAGGTCATTTATGATTAATAGTTTATATTCCACTCATCTATTCTACTTCCCGTGCTTTAAGTACGTCTATGCTCATTCAATTCGTCTACATGAATGCCAGCGAATTCATACAGAACGCTGGCGGTCTAACGAAATCTATTTGGCGGAAGCTCAACTGCCCGCCAAGCACGCCAATAGACGTGTCAAGGTCATCCGTCGGCATTTCTCAACATCAAAGGAATTTAGAAGCTTGCACCTTCTTGTATAATGTCTGTTCGCTGGGCGAACTAACACACCCTCGCCCCACCCTTTATACTTACAGTCGTCGGACACCCCTTCTTATTCGATATGTGGAAGAACAGCACGTCCTCCCCTGCGATGATATACGACACCCCGTACCCGTCATCGGCCACCGGACCGAACCCTCCACCCGCCGATATGCACTTGGGGTGCTTCTTGAGATCCAGGCGCGTGGTCTGGCCGTGGGGGGTCTGCGAGGTGGACAGCCGCCACGGCTCGCCGAGCACCTCTTTAAGGAAGGGCGAATCGACCTCGAGGTACTTGGAGACGACGTACAGACAGAACAGGTGCCGGTCGATGCCTTTGCCCGACATTGCGTCTTGGTAGCCCATCTAGAAAATACAAGCACGGAATTTGAGTTTCTGAAGAGCTTGGGGTAGTTTTGAAGGTTTGATCCGGCTCGAAGGACCAATATGTTCGATGCTTGATAGATATCGTCATGTTGACAACAACTGAACCATCTCCTATATCATATACTAGTACAAGTACTAAACAGTTCGGCTGTGGGGGTCTGCAAGGTGGACAGCCGCCACGACTCGCCGAGCACCTCTTTTAGGAAAGGAGAGTACACTTTGAGGTACTTGGAGACGACGTACAGGCAGCCTATCTAGAAAACACAAGCACGGAATTTGAGTTGATACGAAAACTGTTTGTTGCTACTTGTGAAAGCTCCAACTGCTTGGCAATACACTGTTACTCCAGGCAGTCTTGAGTGCTGCTCTGCATCCTTTGTGAAGAGCTTAGGGTATTCTTCAAGGTTTGATTCGTATAGATCCGGCTCGAAGGATCAATATGTTCGATGCTTGATAGATAGTATGGTTACATGATATATAATAATGAAATGAAGATTGATATGAGAATCGCAATCCTTCTTAATTTTTTGATTTTATTGATGTATCTCATGTTTCAACACGTCGTCATGTTAACAACAACTGAACCATCTCCTATACCATATACGGTCGAAGTAGTAAACAGTCTGCGAGGTGGGCAGCCACCACATCTTGTCGAGGAAAGGAGAGTACACTTCGAGGTACTTGGAGACGACGTACAGGCAAAACAGGTGCCGGTCGATGCCTTTACCCGACATGGCGACTTGGTAGCCGATTTAGAAAATACAAACACGGAATTTGATTTGATACTAAATTGACAAGCTTTTTGGTATGTGTTCGCTCGAAGTATTTGTTGCTACTTGTGAATGCTCCAACTGCTTGGCAATACACTGTTACTCCAGATAGTCTTGAGTGCTGCTCTGTATCCTTTTTGAAGAGCTTGGGGAAGTCTTTAAGGTTTGATTCGTATAGATCCGGCTCGAAGGACCAATATGTTCGATGCTAATGTTAATGTTAACATTAACTGAACCATCTCCTATATCATATACGATCACAAGAGTAGTAAACAGACTGACTGTGGGGTATTCTGCGAGGTGTACAGCCGCCACATCTTGCCGTGCCCCTCTATTAGGAAAGGAGAGTACACTTCGAGGTACTTGGAGACGACGTACAGGCAGAACAGGTGCCTGTCGATGCTTTTGCCCGACATTGCGTCTTGGTAGCCCATCAAGAAAACATAAGCACGGAATTTGAGTTGATACCAAATTGACATGCTTTTTGGTATGTGTTCGCTTGAACTGTTTGTTGCGCTACTTGTGAAAGCTCCAACTGCTTGGCATACACTGTTATTCCTGGTAGTCTTGAGTGCTGCTCTGTATCCTTTGTGAAGAACGTGGGGTAGTCTTGAAGGTTTGATTCAAATAGATCCGGCTCGAAGGACCAATAGGTTCGATGCTTGATAGATAGGGGACTGTATTTGTGTGGTTACATGATATATGAAAATGAAATAAAGATTGATATGAGAATTGCAATCCTTCTTCATTTATTGATTTTATTGATGTATCTCATGTTTCAACACGTCATGTTAACAACAACTGAACCATCTCCTATACCATTTACGATCATACAAGTGGTAAACAGTCTGGCTGTGGGGTAGTCTGCGAAGTGGCCAGCCGCCACGGCTCGCCGAGCACTTTTGGTATGTGTTCGCATAAACTGTTTGTTGCTACTTGTGAAAGCTCCAACTGCCTGACAATACACTGTTACTCCAGGTAGTCTTGAGTGCTCCTCTGTATCCTTTATGAAGAGCTTGGGGTATTCTTGAAGGTTTGATTCGTATAGATCCGGCTCGAAGGACCAATATGTTCGATGCTTGATAGATAGTGGACAGTATTTGTATGGTTACATGATATATGGAAATAAAATAAAGATTGATATGAGCATTGCAATCATTCTTCATTCATTAATTTTATTGATGTATCTCATGTTTCAACAATACGTCATGTTAACAACTGAACCATCTCCTATACCATATACGGTCATACAAGTAGTAAACAGTCTGGATGTGGGGTATTCTGCGAGGTGGACAGCCGCCATGGCTCGCCGAGCACCTCTTTGAGGAAGGGCGAATCGACCCTGAGGTACTTGGAGACGACGTACAGACAGAAAAGGTGCCGGTCGATGCCTTTACCCGACATTGCATCTTGGTAGCCCATCTAGGAAACATAAGCACGGAATTTGAGTTGATACTAAATTGGCATGCTTTTCGGTATGTGTTCGCTTGAACTGTTTGTTGCTACTTGTGAAAGCTGCAACTGCTTGGCATACACTGTTACTCCAGGTAGTCTTGAGTGCAGCTCTGTATCTTTTGTGAAGAGCTTGATAGTCTTGAAGGTTTGATTCGAATAGATCCGGCTCGAAGGAAGAATAAGTTCGATGCTTGATAGATAGTGGACTGTATCTGTATGGTTACATGATATATTATAATAAAATAAAGATTGATATGAGAATTGCAATCCTTCTTCGTTTATCGATTTTATTGATGATGTTGTCAAGGTAACAACAATTGAACCATCTTCTATACCATATACGGTCATACAAGTACTAAACAGTTCGGCTGTGGGGGTCTGCGAGGTGGACAGCCGCCACGGCTCGCCGAGCACCTTTTCATGAAAGGATTGAGACCACATACAGGCAGAACAGGTGCCGATCGATGTCTTTTTCCAACATGGCGTCTTGGCAGCTGATCTTGAAAATACAATCGCGAAATTCGAAGTTGATTTGTAATGAAGGCGGGTACTGGACCAAATTTATTATTTACGAGAACGAATGTACTTAGGAATTAGGTCGTTTCGAAATAAGACTGTAAACGTCAGAAACAGTGTTACAGAATCGAAACAGTTTGAAAGCTCCCATATCCTCCAGGAACTTTTTTATCCTTCTGCAAATTACCTTTCTCAAATTTTCAAGTTGATATCTCGAAATGGTTTTGGAATTTTCTACCTTCCTTATACAGGTTGTAAAATATCAATGTTTTTCAATATTCTGTTTGTTATGTTAAGAATATATTCGTTCAAAATAACACTATCAAACCCGGTAACGTTGAATTTATTATGATTATTCCTAACCGATTATGGAATGAAATACAGGGGTTCTATTTGAAATTCAAAAGATGGGATCTTTTCCGGTGAAACCGGAAGTGATGGGAGAGTATGAAATAACTAAACATTTCACAATTCTTGAATCCAACACCTGTGCCAAGTTTGAATATGATACCTTCAAAATTCTGAAAACTATGACTTGTCTAATGAATATTTTGACGACCGGTGGTTTAAGTTCCCCTCACCACTTGGAAAAAATGCCCGTGAAAAGATGATTATGAGCAAGTTAGGCGTCAATGTTGACAATGTGTGGAAAATATGCCATCCTCAATTTTGTGGAATTCTTATCGTATGTAGTTTTCAACAAAAAAATCTTATCTATGTTAACAAACCTGGTGTCTTTGACATGAAATTCTCAACAGTTTGACACGTTCTTCTACACTGCATTTAGCATTTTCCATGGCTTTCACCCAAGCAGCAGATTCAAGAGAAAGGGGACGTAGAGTTTCTGTTCTGCCTTCCCTGAAATAGATTTTTTTTTACATGAAAGCACAAACATTTAAAATTATCGTATTATATAAAATATTAAAGAATATCGGTTGACTCAGATCCAATAAATCTCCGTTTTTAGAGTTTTTGCTTAATTATTGCATTAACTTTATGCTTCTTCTCATCGTAATAGTATTTTTCACAGGAATCAGTGTTTTTATCTATTCATTTACCCCGATTGCAATAATGACAGAATACCATCAGTGTTAAATAAAAGGCAGTTATTTGACATTACGATCACAACTGTTTTTCCATTAATTATTTTTCTTTTCGTGATTTGATGATGACTTAGGTTGTGTTCAATTAGAAGCTCAGAATTAGGAAAACTAATGGAAAATGATGTATTAAAAGTCTTATTGGAGTCCTTGTCTCCAGATCCAGAAGTTCTCGCAGTTCTTCTGATAGTTTGGAGGATGAAATATTGTTATGTTGAAAATTCTCAACAACCTATATACAAAACATTGCATTAAATTATGATGATATGGATAGAGTCATTAATAAGAATTCCCTGTTGGTACTCAAGTTTCATGTTCGCACTAATTTCTTGAAATTTATGATGGGAAAGAAAAAAGTACCTACCCCTAGAAATTTCTTGAATTTCTGTTGGTGTCAATAATGCAAAATTCTTTTATCTTCATATTCTAGACCGATTCCGATTAATTCATCCATATTTTTTCTTAGGCAAATGGCAAACAGCTTTCAAATCCAATATTTAGTTTACAGTTTTTTGAGATTATGATGTCGCTGTCATTTCGTAAGCCACCAAAATTCGTCCACCATCTCTGTGCATCGGTGGAATGGTTTGCAATTTCGGTTGACACAACAGTAATAAATGAACGCGTGGTTACGTCGAACTGGAATCCACCAAAGAATATACAGGGTGTCCCATAAGTCATGGATCAGAAGAAGTGGGGGGATAGTGAGGGTCATTTGCAATCGAACTAACCGTATATGTGTTTAACCAATTGTTGATGATTCAGAAGTTATTCAATTTTACTGTAAAACACGACCCATTTGAAGAACATTGATAACAAAGAGGCTGTTTTGAATAACCCCGTATGTTATACCATTCCGGAATCTGTATTAATTTGCCTACTTTTTCTAATAGTTCGTTATCTTCGTGGGGTAGTTTTTGAATCTGACAGCGGCATTAAAACTTCGACTGAATTCAATATTTCATTCAACAAAACTCAAGGAGAACAACATTTTACTTAATTGATAGTGCAACACATACCATGAACATTATTTCTGAGGAATGGTACAGGGTGATTCGCCAGAAATGTCCCTCCCTCTAGCTCAGTTATTTTTGAACCGATTGCAAAATTTTAAATATCACCTGAAATGATTTTCGATAAAGTTTTTTCCACTACATCAGAAAATACAAGGTACTCGGAACAAACGATCTACAGGGTACTTTTTGATTTTTTTAAATGGAACACCCTATTTTTCATTGTATTATTAGATTCTCCCTGAAGAGCTGATTTCATCAATGCATCACACTTGGGGTCTAGCGAAAACGATTACAGAGATATAGGGTGTTCAAAATCGAGATTTTTCAACTTTAGGATTTTTCTATGACGAAACTATTCATTATCGGTCAAAACGGCTTCCATGTCTGTATCTCAATTTTTGATTTACTATCTACTGACATTCAATTGGAACATATACAGTGTGATTCAAGATTCAGAATTCTGATTAACCTGTATCTGTTCCAATTATTAAATGTCAGTAGATAGTGAATCAAAAGTTGAGATACAGACATGGAAGCCGTTTTGACCTTGAGATGAAAAATCTCGATTTTGAACACCCTATATCTCTGTAATCATTCCCGCTAGACCCCAAGTGTGATGCATTGATGAAATCAGCTCTTCAGGGAGGATATAAAAATACAATGAAATACAGGGTGTTCCGTTTGAAAAAATCAAGTAGATCGTTTGGTCCGAGCACCCTGTTTTTTCTGATGCAACGGGAAAAAAATTCTGAAAAACCATTCTAGATGATTCTTCAAATTTTTAAATCGGTTCAAAAATAAGTGAGCTAGAGGAAGGGACATTTATGGTGAATCACCCTGTACATCCATGCGAGTGAAATTTGTGAAAGAAAAAATCACAAATGTTACATTGTTTTTTTTGTAATTATTTTGTTTATAGATATGAAAATAAAAACATATCTTTTGAACTATCAACAATTGGATAACCACATATACGGTTAGTTTGATTGGAAATGATCCCCCCTACCGCCCCACTTCTTTTGATCCATGACTTATGGGACACCCTGTATTTGAACACAGTTGGTGGATTGATGAAGCCACCGGTGAATAAAAGAACGTCCCTTATATAAATAAAAATGTCATGATTCGGTGAAAGCTCGTACAAATTGAAGTGATGCGCCTGAAGATACAAGGGCGTACATTATTGGATCCGAATAACCCTGTACTTCGACCCTAACCTATACAATCTCGTCATCGTGGCCTCGTAAGTCAAGCAGAACCTGCCGGCGTCCCTGTAATACGCCAGCTGCAGCGCCATCTGTATGTACGCGTCCGGACTGACGCCGCAAGTCTTCATGAACCCCTTGCCGTAGCTGTCGTGCACGAGGATGCGCAGGTCGATGTCGCTTATCAGTTTCTCGGTGACTTTCAGCGCCTGCGCGATCGCTTCCAGAGCGTCGCTCGACAGGTCCCAGGCGAGGCGAACGGGTGACGGGGGTGACAGTTCGGGCTTTCCCATCGTGTTTCCGTCCTCGTCGTATCTAGGGTATTAGATATTTATGTAAGCGGCTAGGAAATGTTTCGATATTGCGTTTTTTTTACAAATTATACAGGGTATTTCTCAAGTACGTGTAGAAAATACAGGAGCATGTTGCTGACGTCAAAATAAGAAGAAAAGTTCGTATAAATATATGTCCGAAAGTTATTCGTTCCTGAGATACAGAGTGTCAAAGTTGAATTCTTATTGATGTTTTTTGTCAATAAATTTCAAAATAATTATGATATTGGAATAGAATTTGTTATCTACGGGTATTTTTCAATGACAATATCAAATTTCATGTTTGTTTGTCTCTTTAGTGGGGGTGGCGCCACCTACATCTCTTTTGAGTCTTCTGAAGTCATAACTTTTTTGTGCGTACCTGTATAACGTTTCATAGTAGACAAATAGATTTCTAGAACACTTTTGTGTAAAAAATATATGCCTGGTAAAGGTCGCGGTGAGCAACTGTTTTCGAGTTATTGGGATTCGAAATAATCGATGCATTTGAATTATTTCCATGTGGCTGGTAAGTCGCCTCTAGTGAATATCAGAAAAGATACGCCAGTGCATTTTTCTTCTTCCATTCAATATTCTCCTACATTCAACATTGGAATGTAGGAGAATATGATTCTTACTTCTTTGTACCTACTTTTTTGGACTCCTCAGATTAAAAAAAATAACAATCGAGTGGGTACTTGTCATGTTATATCAATCCGTTCTTGTGACAGTGAAGTTTGTTGTCTTCTGTACTTGTGATTCAAGCTTTTTCAACTAACTGTTTCAGTATCAATTTGGTCTTGATTACTGTTATGATCATCAGTATTGAATTGTAATAACATCCAATTCCTATTTTTCAATGGAATTAAAGAAAAATAATTTCCCTTACTTAATAAATCAATTTTGTATTCCAACTTTTTGTCATTCCAAATTACTTGCATTGATTATTTCAAATCCCAATAACTCGAAAACAGTTGCTTGCAGCGATCTCTACCAAGAATATATGTTTTACATAAAAGTTTTATAGAAATCTATAATATAATATAATAATATAATAATCTTTTCAAAAGACTCAAAAGAAATGTAGGTGGCGCCACCCCCACGAAAGATACAAACTAACATAAAATTCGATATTGTCATTGAAAAATGCCCCTGGATACCAAATGTTATTCCAATATCACAATTATTTTGAAACTCATCGACAAAAAACAAAAATAAGAATTCAACTTTGACACTCTGTATCTCAGAAACGGATAACTTTCGGACATATGTTTATACGAACTTTTCTTATTTTGACGTCAGCAACATGATCCTGATATTTTTACACGTACCTTAGAAACACCCTGTATACAATACCCCTCTTATTTTTAAAAGTTTGACGTATGACAGTGCGACATATGAATAACCCACAGACATGACTACTATCTAGACCGCTATACTGCCGTGCTAAGCAAACAGGTCTGAGACAATGATATTCGTCGTATCTCCCAGATAGCACGGGAAGTCCATTTTGGCTCAATTTTTTGTCTGAACGTCCAGGACCGTGTATGGACGTTTTTAGGGCGTCCATTATTGGACATACTCGGGACGTCCAGAATAAGACATCTTTGAAACGTCAAATTTACAGACTCTATGACATTTGACATAGAGATTGCATTTTTTTGGACCTGTTGAACTTGAATATGTAAAAATATAAAAGGTGTTCCATTTGAAAAAAAGAAAGACGCTGGCATTTCCGGAAAAAACGAAAGTCCGCCATTTTAGATCGAATGTGATCAATTCTGAAATGATTGCTTATATGTTATACATATAACTATACTGAATTTCCGAAAAATTCGTATTTCGTTGACCTCTACAAAAAATCATATTGTACGTTCCTGATTCCGAACCAAAAACCGACTATTTGCGAAGGCAAGTACTTTTTGTCCGCCGACATTAACTTTTCGTCCGCCACAGGGTTGCCAGTTCTACTGAATCTTCAGTAAATCCCCTGATTTGCATATCGCTCCAAGCGATAAAAAAAATGAACTGAAAAATATTTTAACACTTATTAATTATTATAATTACCTATATTATCATTAACCTTTAGTTGATCATATACACTTATAAATTACATGATATTCCGGCAAGCTCTGTTTAAATTAATTATACAAAATACGTAATAAATCTACGTATAGGTACTAATGATAGGAATAAGCCAAAAAAGAACAATACTTTATTTGATCCAGATCAAATTCCATTTTTTATATACCTCTGTTATAACGGTTTGTTTCTTACGTTTAATTTTTCTGTTTGCATATGTAACTGTCTTTCGTGATATTTGTGAGAATTTTTGAATTGAGAATTAGGAATATGATTATTTTTGTATGAGAATGTTTCTTTCAATTTTGTTGAACATAGGTTACTTTTCTGTTTACTGAAAGATGTTTTGACGTCGAAGGTTCATTTAATTATCCTTTCTTGGAATTCGTATAGCATAAGATAGATCTTGCACAGATCTATTGAAATGTACTGAATTTTTGACAACGTATTTACTGATGGAATAAAAATCGAACTGGCAACCCTGGTCCGCGCGGAGAGTGAGTTGAAAACAACTGTCATTTACTGTTGTCGAATCAATTATTCACGAAATCCGGTAGATTTCACGCGTGAATAGGACCGTGAACCGTGATGTGAATATAAGTTTTCAAGGTCGACGTAAAGGCCTCGGCTATCAATTTGCAGACTCGACTATAATAGACAATGTTGAGCTTTGAACTCATTGGCATAAGCGGTCTAGTCAGTAATTTATGTCGGTGAGGGTACGGGAGGAACCACCATCTTGAATTCTTGGTATTCCTTTCTGATGACGTATGTCAGGTGCCAACAGATTAGGGTTAAGGTTACCGAAAAATGAACATGACTGGATACTGGAATCCTGAACGAAAACTATCTCAATCATCCAATTGTTGAAATAATTAGAGTTCAGAGTAATGAAGTTTTCAAGTCAAATCATATTTTTGGTCCATACCAGACCAGATGCACTGTTTCACTTTTAGTCATGGTGGAAATATGTATGCAGATGGTAGTTTCAATTTAAAATGATGAATTTGAAATTTTGTTTCAATTCAATTATAGTAGGTGAGTAATTTACCATGGCATACCATACATAATGAGCTATACTATAACTATAAGAGTTAATTATTATTATTAGACCATCGGTTAGAGATCATAGGGTACTCACTGAAAGTGGCGCTGTAATTCAATTAATACTTCGATCAAATAAAAAAAAAACGAAAAAGTTAGCAATGGTGGGAAATGATTTGGTGTTAACTGTATGTATACAGTGTGTCCACAATAAGAATAAATAAACTTCTAACTGTCGTAGGCATATTTATATTTGAGTTGTGTCTCTATGTCTTCAATAATGAGAATGATTTTCTACTTGGCGTAATGACGAATTCCATGTTCCATTCGTCAAGTACAAGGTGAGTTCCAACTCTCCGTCATACTTAGGAGCTTGGATAGCTATGTATATTGTGTCCATTGGAAAATAAATACTTATTATTATTTTTACTATTACTTAAAACTACAACAAATAAGCTTAGGCTTTTATATTTCATCACCAAACATTAATATTTTGCGAAAGTGTTGGAAATATTTCCCGCACTTTTTCTTGAAAATAACACTCCCCAAACTAAATTGCATGCGGGTATAGGGTGAATCACGCACGCTTGTAGACAAAAGCTTTTCCATGTGTGGTAAGTCCTTAACGTGGACACACTGTATGTTGTAACAAAAGAAACATGCAGTCAGTATATTGTTAGTATGCAAGAAAAGGAAACGTGAATTACCGGTTTGACATCTCATCAGTTATTAGATACTCCCAACTATGCACAACAATTGGAGCATCAGCCCTATCAATAATAAAAGACACATACAGAACTCTTGAAACATATACAGAAAACAGTATCATTACTTGTCTAGAAAATCTGGCTATATTCCGAATTCAACTGGTCAGTACTGCCAGTAGATCTACTGACTGCTGAAAATCTGTGTTCCGAAATATTAAATCAGAAATACAGTGCTGTAATTCGGAACAAGTTCTTACGGTTTTCATCAGTAATCAGCAGAAGATGAAATTGAATATAATTCTTAGCATCAATCATTCGAATAATAGGCGTTTTCTAATATTAAAAATGACAAATTATGAATAAAATATGACATTCCTTCCCCCTCTAACTAAAATAATGACAGTTCACTGAAGCCACACTACCTTTTGATAGTCAGCAATTTCAGCAGAATGTCGAGTCAAAATATTTTGAATGAATAGTATGTCTGCCCACAAGTATCTGTCTCTTTCAGTGATTTTTTTTGATTTCGTAATGAAAAATCAGCAGATTCAGTACTGTTAGTTGAATTCAGAATATAGCCTCTATTGACTAGTTATACAGGGTGTTTCAACAAAAGGTGACCCTCTTGCTAGGGTTGGTAGGACACTGCAGAATAAGTTGGGTTTGCTCTGTAAAATGATATCGTAACGGCTTTGGTTCTCAAAATACAAGATGTTGAAAAAGATTCTATACACATGTTCTACTATTAGGTCGAATCAACTGACAACATTGTAATGAAATTTTGTACGGTTGTGTTTTGGAAGCATGAATTTGTTTTTATATCTTACTCTCATAGAGGACGCTAGTTACACGGTACGTACCGAGTAGTTTTAAACATAACTTTTTTGAAGTTAGATTCTTCAATCCAAATTTAATGTGATATTGAAGTACTTCAACATCATTCAATTTTACACCAAAGAGATACTCTTGGTAAATCTCGATACTGTGTATTGTTTTCTGAATATTTTGATTTGAAAATGATGAAGTGATAACTTGTTGCTGGTATAAAGCTGTGAAAACAACAATATATTCCTGATGAACTTATTGATTGAACAATGAATCACAAGAATAACATTGAAATAAATTTGACTAAAAATATGGATTACACAGTTTGGTTGTATCTTAAGGAAAAAGTATATGTTACAGGTAAATTCCCGTCAAGAGCTGCAAAACAAAATTGTACATCAGTTAAATGAACTAATACCTGATCATCAACCGTTTAGTTAGAAGAATAATGCATTCTCAACATGCTCTAACTGATTCAATTTTCTACTTGTAATTCTTTGTTCAATCAATAACTCCAGCACAAGAATAGTATTAAAAGGTAATTGATCTCAACAATACTTATTTATAACAGCTATTACTACATTATTTTCGAATCAAAATGTTCCGAAAACGATACACATTATTGAGTTTCATCAAGTGTACCTTTTTGGTGTGAAATTGAATGATGTTCAAGTCCACATGGAATTTGGACTGAAAGAAACCTAAAAAGCTATGTTTAAAATACTCCGTACGAACCGCGTGTAACTAGCGCCCTTTATGAGAGTCATATTTGAAAATTAATTCATGCGATGTGTCAGCTTCAAGAAAATATCCATAAAAATATCATTACAATGTTGTAAGTACACTCAGTTCCAAAAAAAGTGACGCACTTGATATTTGACCTATTTTCTTAAAAAAAAAACAAAAAATAGTAGGCCGATTTTCATTTTTTTTATTTGTTGGTAGGTAGGTAATGCATGTGTCTTTAAAAAAAAATAAAGAGGTGAGCATTTTTTCAAAGCCTCCTTGATGGTGGCGGAATGACTCGAACCATGATTTATTCTTAATTTTTGACTCACCCTGTGTGTTAATTGAGTAATGGCATAGAAAGTGCTTACACCCTATACGAAAGAGGCTTCTTTTGCGAGCATTTGGTTTTTTTATTCATTGATTTATCTCTAAATTTTTTTCGAATTACAGCTTTTTTGCTGATACCTTACGCTTATCCCACAAATTAAATTTATTGAAGGATCAGAGTACTCAAAATTAATTGGCTTGTACTCTGGTAGGATCACATTGTCTTCAAAAAAACAAATGCCGTTGCCATAGCAACTAATTTGTTGTATGCCTCCATATTTGACCATTTGTCGTTGTGTCATTAATTAAGTGTCTTGTTTTATTGACTAAAATTACATAAAATGCCTCAAATAAATCCTGAACAAGTAGCAAGATTAGTTTCGTTAGTAAACGATGGGCGTAGTGCAGTGGGAGTTCATGAACAAAATTAAGAATAAATCATGGTTCGAGTTATTCCACCACCATCAAGGAGGCTTTGAAAAAATTGTCACCTCTATATTTTTTTTTCAAGACAAATGCATTACCTACCAACAAATAAAAAAAAATCGGCCTACTTTTTTTTTTCGAGAAGATAGGTCAAATATCAAGTGCGTCACTATTTTTGGAACTGAGTGTAGTTTCGACATAATAATAGAAAATGTGTGGAAAAACATTTTTTTAACACCTTGTATCTTGAAAACGGATGCAGTTACATTTTTTTACTGAACAAACCGAACTTATTTTGCAATTTTCTACCTACTCTAGAAAGGGGGTCACCTTTTTTTGAAACACCCGTATTCAAAATCAAGTAGTTGATTGAATTATCATTATTCATCTAGTTCCTGGGTCATTAGGGAAGACATTAATCGAATTATCACCTGTATATCGGTATATCCCAATGTATTTGCCAATATCTCAAGATAAGGATCTTGTAGTATTTGATCTTCATTATATATTTCTTCTGGCGAATTACTTGAGTTTGAAGAATAAATCACAAGAAATGTGTAAAATAATTTCAAAAACAAAAAAATGGAGCATTCGACGTTCCCATTGACCTCAAAAAAATAGCCCGGAGGTGTTTGAAGGAGCTGTCTCACAAAAAAAATAACATCAAATACATTCCAGATAGTATATCTGCATGCAATCAAGATTTAATTGACCATATTTTTAAGAGTGAGACATTGCTTATTATGAGGTTGGCTACGAATATATCAAATTACAAAAGCGAATAAAATCGGCATTAGTGCCGAAATAATTGTATCATTATCAGATGAAAAAACTGGTGAATTATTCATTAGTGAAAATAAGAACAAGAACAGCTTCTTGGAGCCATCGTTTTTTAAACTGTAATCCACATTAACAAAAGATAATGCATTCAACAAATGCCAACAAATAGCATCAAATGTCTAACCCTTTCCAAAATATAGTCAATTGGTACACAAGTTGATAGAAGTAGAAAAAGAGAGAAGAACAGCAAAGCAAGAAGAGAAGGCTCAGAAAACTCCATAACCTGGAAGGACACAAACGTTTTCAACATTTTTTTTATTACCGAACATCCCAGGTTTCTGAAGTGATCACCCATTCCCATACATGGGACATGACAGCTGCGTCTGCCCTATAAAATATGCAATTCAATCAGAAATAAACTTGGCCCAAGTCAAAATGGCAATATCAACTTCATATTTGCTATCTAAGTTTGAGGTGGTTAGAAGTGTGGACTGCCATTCCAGTATGTAGCCAATTTCAACACACAAATAAACATTTTGGGTTCACAAAAGCTGTCACTGCACATGGAAATGACGCTTATTTGCATAAAACAGCATATTCTCTGCACAGAACAGGTCCTATCATCTGTCATCGAAATTTACAACTATACACTGTTGAACAACGGAAAAACCATGTTTCTAACCACCTACAAGTTGTAACGGATATTCAAACAATTACCATGAGTGTTCTGCATTGAAACCTATGCGTCCATTATTTCCTATACAGAGTGTGAAGGATTTATCGAACCATCTATCGTACCCTTTGCCATGTAACAAGTTTCTACCATATTTATCCAACTTCGACGGGTCACTCTGAAAAATATTGAACGTTTTGAAAAAATGAGATGGGAAATCAAATGAACAATTCCCACCATATCAAATTCGTAGGGATAATCATCTAAGGTGACGATGAAGGCAGCTTTCTCGATGGTATCCAAAGAAGTTCTATTGACGCCGCCCTTGCCGAAAATATTTGTTCTGAAATTGGCCCAGTGGGTTCTCTCGCCGGCTGTCAACGCTGCCAATTGTTCTTCTCCAGGCAACGGTTTCGATTCATCGTCCAGGATTTGCTGCAGTTGTCTAACAGAATGAAAAAACATGAAGAGCAATACAGCCATGGGCGTCCGCAAGGGGGGGGGCGCTTAACCTCCCCCCTAGCACATTGTCCTTACTCAGATGGATCATTTTCAATGAAATAGATTTGCAGTACCGTAGAATGGGGATACTTGGAACATTTTTCAGATACAAATACACGTGGCAAAGTTATTGTTTATTGTAGGGAACCTTCCCCTGCCCTAAACGAGTAAGAGTTGATGTACTATAATTATTCAAATATTCATCTTCGCCGGTCCAGTCGTTAGGAAGATATTTAAAAAATATATGATGTTTCAAGTAACCCGCAGATTAGGAAATTTGGAAGAGGAATACAAAAGTCTCGTTGTAGTCAATTTGTCGTCTTATCAGCATACTGGGTACATGAGTAATTGTGTTAGTGTCATCTAAATCAATCCGAAATCAATTTTGTGATAAAGTAATCCAATAAATAAAATATTTCAAAGAGTATATTATACACTCACCGGCAAAAAAAACCGGCCACCAAAAAATTTAGTCAAGTTGTTCGCCCTGTAACTTCTTTAGTTCTCGTCAGATTTTGGTGGAATTTTGAACAAATCGTAGATTCATGTTCCGGAATGTTAACCTGAATATGAATTCCCAAAAAAGCTGATAGCTTGGTCATTATACAGGGAAAAACAAGAGTTACTCATTTACCCATAACTTCTTAACGCCCTGTGGCTGAAGTGAGTGGTTGAACTCCTCTTCATTATGTCTTGGATTGAAGAGTATTCTTTTCTCATCACAATAGTTTTTGATTCACGTCGATATCTCATTGTTTAGAAAAGATACGATGGTTTTAAGAAAGTATGGAGTTATTCAAGTTTTATTTAACAATCATCAGAACGTACATAAACTTATCGATCGACAACTTAAAAAAAAACATCTTTAAATCAATATGGCTTATTTCCACATTGTTTTCTTGGTATACTTCCCATATTATTGGAGATACGGCTTTGTCTTGATGCATGACAACGCCAGACCACACGTTGCTCGAATTGCAACCGAGTATTTGAATAAGGTCGGAATTCTAAGGCTTGACTGGGCCAGCATGCAGCCCGGATCTCAATCCTATAGAGCATCTTTGGGATGAACTACAGAGGCGCATTCGTCTACGTCCGGCATTGCCAGAGACTCTTCAAGAGCTACGATTCGCCCTTCAAGAAGAATTTGAGGCAATTCCTCAAGACTGGTTGAGAAATCTGATCAACTCGATGCCACGGCGATTAAATGCTGTAATTCAAGCTCGAGGAGGGCATACTCGGTATTGAATACATCTAGGAGATCTACTTTTCGTTTGTTTTTTGTAATTAAGGTTTTTTGTGTAGGTGTGTCTACGTTCTGATTATTGTTAATAAAACTTGAATTACTCCATACTTTCTTAAAACCCTCGTATCTTTTCTAAAAAATGAGATATCGACGTGAATCAAAAACTATTGTGATGAGAAAAGAATACTCTTCAATCCAAGACATAATGAAGAGGAGTTCAACCACTCACTTCAGCCACAGGGCGTTAAGAAGTCATGGGTAAATGAGTAACTCTTGTTTTTCCCTGTATAATGACCAAGCTATCACCTTTTTTGGGAATTCATATTCAGGTTAACATTCCGGAACATGAATCTACGATTCGATCAAAATTTCACCGAAATCCTACAAGAACTAAAGAAGTTACAGGGTGAACAACTTGACTAAATTTTTTGGTGGCCGGTTTTTTTTGCCGGTGAGTGTATATAGTATATTATACCTAGCACTGTTATGAATGCATTTAATTGAAAACTCAAAAACTCTCTTGATTATAATTCTTAACAGCAAAATGGACTGGTAAAATCTCATTTAGCGAAAAAAACTCAAAAATGAACTCTTTGGTGGTGTTGGTGGGGAGTTCAAGGGGTTTTTGTAAGGTGGTGGATTGGGGAAGGTCTTATTAGATACCTATTATGATCACAAACAGATATGTACAATCATTCGCGTCTGTTCCAACTTTTCGGTTTTCCAACTCTGACTTTTGTAATGAAAAAAAATATTGACAACACTGTTCAAAGGTGAGCAGTGATATAGCGGCATTTCGCTAGTGAATTGAATGAAGGCCGTATACTGAATGGATCATATCTTTTGACATGAAGCTTTTAATGCTATTTTATTCTGTCATATTGCTGGTTTTAGTTACAATATGATGAACAACATTCTTAAAAAAATATTTGAACGCTACTTATTTCTAATCGACTAGTATATACCCATACTGAACAACTATGCACGTTACGATGTTTCAAAATGAAATCAGCCGTAGATTTCAGGGGGTAATTTTAATAAATGTAAAGTGAAAAAACATTTTTATTAAAAATGTTTTATTTAAACGCTCTAAAGAGAAAAAAACAAAATGTCCCTTCATAATTTTAACTATCAACTTACAACCTCATTATACACAATTTATATTATCATAAAAGCTTGTAGCGCGATTTACTTGTTCGAATAAACTAGTACTGATTTAATTTTGTAGCGGATTTTACAAAATAAATTGTGTATAATGAGGTTATAAGTTGATAGTTCAAATTATGAAGGGACATTTCATTTCATTCTTTTTAGAGCATTCTAATATAAGCTTTTTATTAAAAATGTTTTTTCACTTTAAAATTTATTTTTAATTTTTAGTTATCGCTGGCTGTCTCTGTCTGTTCATTGCATTCAACACATCATTGTTGCAAGGTCGTTTGCCGGTTAATTTCGAACAGTCCAGCTCTTCAATAACGAGACCTTCTAATGATTTTACCCTACTTAAAGCCACGTATGCTTGACCAGCAGCGAAGAGACTCGAGCCTAGTTTTAAAATGTGAAGTTTTGTTCCAATATACCCTGCAGTTCCAAGTATGCCCATTCTACGGTATTCATTCCCTATTTTATTATTATTATTATTATTATTATTATTATTATTAAAAAGTGATAATGGGCTGAGGTGTGAACCTATAAAAGCCCATTTATACATGACATAGTTGTATGGTACACATAAAGAAATATTATATATATATGTAAATAGCTACTAGACAAACAATTAGATTAAAAATAAAATTGAAAAAACAATTAAAAATGTTGAATAGAAATTGAACATTTCGAAATAAAATAGACAGATATAATGCGATGCAAACTGAAAAAAACAAAAACAATTTACTCAGTAATACGATCTAATCGACTTTTGAATGATGATACTGAGGGTGCATTAACTATGTCTGTATCCAGGTTGTTCCATGCCGAGAAAACACGATTTACTATGAAGTTTTGCCGATTTGACGACCTGAAATGTTCCTTCTTAAGTTTAAAATTATGTCCTCTTAATCGTGTATCATCGTTTATCTGGAACATATCACTCAGTGAGGGTAGAAATCCATGAAGAATCCGATAAGTTAGGATCAAGTCTCCACGATGTCTTCGATCTTCGAATGTTGTCAGGCTTAACTGATTCAAACGTTCATGGTATGATGGTCTTCTGAGACCGAAGGACATTCGGGTTGCTCGTTGTTGCACAGATTCCAACATGTTACGATCTCTGATCAACTCCGGGCTCCACACTTGTCCTCCATATTCTAGGATTGGCCTAACATAAACTTTGTAGAGGTTAGTGAACGTTTCAGGTGACGTTTTCGGAAAAACTTTTTTCAAGAGGTACAATTTTGTATTCGCTCGTTTGCATATGTTTGAAATATGATGTGACCACGTTAAATTGCTGGTTATGGTAACTCCAAGATCATTGTGGCATTCAACCTTAACTAATTGCACATCATTGATGGTATAATTTTGTCTAGGATTATTTTTACCAAGGTGAAGTACAACACATTTAGCAATATTCAGTGGTAGTAACCACTCACAACTCCAGTTGTATAAGGCAATCAAGTCATTTTGCAATATATGTTGTGATTTTGTGTTGTTGTAAAGTTTTGTGTCATCAGCGTAAAAAGAACAGGTTGACTTAAAAATATGTGATAAATCTGATGTGTAGCACAAAAACAACAGAGGACCAAGTACAGATCCTTGGGGAACTCCACTCAATACAGGATATTGGTCAGAGAAGCAATCATCTATCCGAACACAAAAATATCTGTTCTCTAGAAAATTCTGGATCCACGTCAGTAGTAGCCCGCGTACACCAAAATGTTCTAATTTACACAAAAGTCTTTTTCTAGGGACACGGTCAAATGCTTTAGAAAAGTCTAGATAAATAATATCCATAGGGGTATTATTGTCCAAATGTTTTGACCAGACATTCACGCACTCCAATAAGTTTGTTGTAACTGACCGATTTGGAACAAAACCATGTTGTTGTTGCGGAATTATTTTGTGATATAACAGGAAAGTTTTTAATTCATCACTTATTATTGATTCCATGATTTTGCAAGCCACTGAAGTGAGACTTATAGGTCTGTAGTTGCTTGGGTCGAGCTTGTTACCCTTTTTGAATATTGGTGTTACAGATGCTAACTTCCAGCTATTTGGTAAGCAGCAGTTTTTGAATGAACGGTTCATAATTATACTTAGTGGATAGACTAGATTTTCGCTGCATCTTTTTAGAAACAGGACAGTGATGCCATCGATGCCTGGGGAGGAGGATGATTTTAGTTTTCCAATTTTGTCCAGAATTTTTGACGGAGGGAAATTTATATTGGAAAGGTTGTCCTGGTTGCGTACGGAGTTAATCGTGATTGTATTTGGTAATTCAGGTTCAATGTTAAAGGATGTTGTGAAAGTACTTGCCATCATTTCTGCGACTTCTTTGTTGTCTTTGCATATGTCACCATCCGTCTTCTTCAACATAGGTATACTAACTCTAGAACTAAGGTGTGATCTTATGTACTTGTGAAGCTTCTTGGAGTTTTCAAATTTTGATAGATTCCTTTCATATGAAATTCTAGCATTCTTTATCGATTCAGATAGTGTATTTGAGAAACGTCTGTGAGTGTGATAATCGTTGGCGTTTCTTGTTCTTTTGAATCTTTTCCATAATGTCTGTTTTCGTTTCACCTGTGTGAGGATGTTGTCGTTAATCCATGGTTTGAGTCTATTTTCCGAAAATGTTTTGATTGATGTATTCTGTTCTAATATGATATTTGTAGTATTGTGAAAAGTCTCCCATATGGTATTCACGTCATCTCCACTCAATAAAACGTCCCAGTCCATGAGTGAAAGTGATTCATTAACCTTATGAAAGTCAATATACTTTTTAACTTTTTTCCGTTGACTCGGAACTGATTCTGTAATGATTTGAATAGATGTGCTCAAAACTACATGATCTGATTTTCCTATAGGTGGAAGATAATTAACATCTGTGAATAACTGTGGATCATCAGTAAGTAGCAGGTCCAAAGTTGAAGGGATTTGATTATGCCTATACCGTGTAGGAGCTTGAATCAACTGGGTAAGGTTTGTATTTAACAACAGCTCAATAAAGGCTGTTGTACTTTCAGCAGGATATACATATTGTGTTATTGGCCATGAGATCTCAGGAAAGTTAAAGTCACCGAAAATGACTAGGTTCTTGGAGGTTCTTGTTAAGTTTTCTATTTTTTCAATGAGGGATGAAGTATCTTGTATGTTTGATTTTGGGGGTCTATATATACAGACTAATACGAAGCTGAAAGATGCTGAGGTCAATGAGAGGGTGATTTTGTTTGTCAATCTGATGAGGCTTACAAATTGTTCAACTTATTGCCTAAACGAATAAACGATCTAGATAAGAAAGCTTACACTGAAAGTGTTCAGTCAATTGAACGTTGTAGGGGTGAAGTTTAAAAAAAAGTGAGTGCTGAAGCAGATTTTTTATGATACTTGTAAAATGAATAACAAGTGAATGAACATAAGTTTGCAAACAATTTTCAATACAGAGAGTGTAATAAGTAATCCCTTGCTCGCGCAAGTATCATGAAGACTTTTGAGGGTTTATTTTTTTTTTTTTTTATTTATTTATTTACGGGAAACCCCATTACAAAAAAATATACATAAATTACATTTATTCATAGAGAATGAGCTTAAAACTACTAAATAAATATTCACTACATATTATATATGTCAGAAATTTCAAAACCCTTCAAAATATAGATCTGACAAGTGTTCTGAAGCTATTTAATGATCCATGAAGAATGTCTAAATCGGTTTCGTTAATTATTTTCAATGTTCTTTCAATGGGTGAATGTTGTCCATAATTTGTAGCATGGTGAGTTATTCGAAAGAGGTTTGTATTTCTTAAAGTTCTGTTTGGCACATTGAATTTGATTAACTCCAACAACTTCGGACACACAATAAATCCATTTATTAATTTGAAGATGAAACATAAGTCGTTGGTTAATCTACGATTTTTCAGAGTCTGCATCTTCAGATCATCAAGTATTGAAGCGTAATCATGGTTATGTATGGTTGTATTAAGTTTATATGCACAAAATCTCAAGAATTTGTTCTGAGTGCGTTCTAATGTATAATTATGTACTTGATAGAATGGTGACCAGACAATAGAGGCATAATCTAGGTGAGAAACTACCAGCGACATATACAACATCCTAACTGTATGGACAGAGAAAATGTTACAGTTTCTAAGAATGCACCCCAAAATCTTCGAAGACTTGATTGCTACATTATTAATGTGTTCCACAAAACTCATATTTTGTTCAAAAACCACTCCTAAGTCCCTCACTGATGACACAGATAAAAGTTCTTTATCTTTAATGTAATAAGAAGATTCATATTTCTTTTTTATTTTGTAGAAGCTAATAAAAGTACATTTTTCAATATTTAGATATAGTTTATTTTTATCACACCAATTAATTAACCTATTTAGGTCTTCTTGTAGACTTTTTTCATCCATATATGAGTAAACAGGTCCATACAGTTTTAAATCATCAGCAAACAATAGATATTTACTATATATGAAGCAGTCGCCGATATCATTAATGAATAGGTTGAATAATAGTGGAGAACAATGTGAACCCTGTGGAACCCCAGATGTCACATCAATATCGTTTGAAAGATAAGACCCAACTTTAACTTTCTGTTTGCGACCAGATAAAAAGCTCTTTAGCCAATTCAATAGAGTTTCATTAAAACCAATATTTTTTAATTTAAGCAATAATAAATTGTGATCTACCCTATCAAATGCTTTGCTGAAATCTGTATAAATTGAATATAATTGCATTTTCTGTTCCAGAGTTGATATGATATCATTGTTATAAATTAACAGATTTGTTACTGTGGATCTTTTAGCCATAAAACCGTGCTGATTGTCATTAATGATCTCTTTACACAAAAAACTGATTTGGTCAAACACTAAGCTATCAAATAACTTGGGTATCGCAGATTGATTAGATATCCCTCTATAATTTTTAATATTTTCTTTTTCACCCGATTTGAATATGGGTATTATATAACTGTTTTTCCAGATATCAGGAAAAATTCCAGAGTTCAATGATAGATTAAAAATCATACAAAGTGGATGTGCAAGAGAACAAATACATTGTTTAAGAAATATGTTGGGTATACCATCAGGCCCACAGTTGATCTTTGAAGGGATTTTATCGATTTTATCGTACACTGTGTAAACAGAGGAATTAGAAAAACCTATATCATGATTTGTTATGTTCGTTAGATCGTCATCAGGAGCTACTCGATTGTTAACATATATCGTAGAGAAATAGTCTGCAAACAACTGTGAAATTGCTTCACCGTCGCTAGCGGTTTTGTCTTCCAAAAATAAGTTTTGAGGAATACTAAATGATGATTTTTTGTTATTTACAAATTTCCAGAATGATCTTGGATCTTTTGACAAGTTGTTGTCTATTTTATTCATGTATTGTTCGTAACATATTTTGGACAGATTTTTACACTGTGCTCTGAGATCAACGAAATTTTCATAATATGCCATATTACCTGTTTGTTTGTATTTTTTTATGAACCTCCCTCTTTTGTATGACCCCATGCCTTAAATTTGCATCAAACCATTTTGGAAAAGATGATACTTTGTATTGTTTCAACGGGACAAATTGTTTGATTGCCATGTTCAAAATTTGATAAAATGTTTCAACAGCTGTGTTTACATTTTTACTATCTAACCATTCTGTCCAATTTATTGGTGACAAGTAATTGTTTAAACCAACTACATCAGCATTGATGAAATCATAGTAATACTCCACATATTTAAATTTTTTGTCGCTCATATTATTTAAATGAATATTGAAGGTATATGCTTCATGATGAACTGAGCTAGGAAATAAAGGATCAATACTAGCTAAGCTAACATTCACAGATTCAAGGTTAGAAAAAAGTAGGTCTAAAAATACATTTCTGGAATTAGGAATTTCGACAAGTTGATAGAAATTGAGAAATCCATAGCACTGGGCTAAAATTGTAGAACAGTTGCTTTGATTGCCATTTGTAGATGTGCCTAGATTGTCATTTTTCCATGTCACATCTGGTAGATTGAAATCTCCATAAACAAAGAAATCTTGCAGAGGGTAATTAACACGTATTTCCTCGACAGCTTGCACGTGTGATGAAAATTTTTCTTCAGGAGCGTTTGGAGGAAGATAAACACCACAAATGATAAACTCCTTTTTGTTATACCTGCAGTGAACAAACAATTGTTCTGTGTCTTCATTTGTCAATGCCAATTTTCTAGCACTTATGCGTTCGTGAATAGCAATCAATATTCCACCCCCTCTCGATTTCTCGCTCGTTGATTGAGATCTATCGCAGCGGAAGACATTGTAATTATTCAATTTGAGTTCGTTATTAGAAATATCACTGTTTAGCCAACTCTCTATCAAGATGATTATGTCATAATTGGAACATGCCACTGCTGTGGTTAACTGCATTATCTTTGTTCTCAATCCGCCGACGTTATGACAATACACTTGCAATGGGGTATTGATTAGTTTTTTCTATTTTCTGATTTTTGCTGAATCACTGGAGTTCCTTTATAGAATCTAATCTCTATATTACGTTCGCCTTTTCCAATTCTTGTATTAAATTCTTCTTTAACCTTTTTGAAGTATTCACGTTGGGTGGGAGTCTGATCCGCACTCAAACGAATAGGAGTCTCTTCAGCTACCAGTTTCCTTTTATTTTTCAGGCAGTTCAGAGCGATATTGTTGTCAGAAAAAGATATTTTAAGAGGGCGTGGTTTATTGTTGGGATGACCAAGGCGATGAGCTTTAAATTCTCCGCCCTGTACGTTCAGATGGTCTAACACATTTTGGCATTGTTCTTTATCAAATTTGATTCTTTCTGAATATTCTTGAGCTTGAGATTCTTGAACATTGGTTGGTTTGCTCGTGAGGGGGCAACCGAATGACCGTATAGAACAATTTTAGAAAATTTTTTTAGACTAAACTTTTCATCCATTATAGTATATTCAAAATAATTGCTATTCTTCCCACTACAACTATTGTTGTTTTGTTCATTCCTATGTTTTAATGTAGAATAAACTGTTTTTCTACGGCTATAACACAAAATTGCTCTTAATTTACTCTGTTTGATATATCAATGAGGTACTTTGTATGTCGTCAATTTCATTTTGTATCTGATATCTCAATTACTCCATTGTGTTATTATTTAAAAAAAAAACTCATCGCTCATGGAATGTCAATTTCAAGCAATGATAGCTCAGTCCAATAGATGAGAATCACATAAGAGGAAATCAGAGGGCTACAAGATGAAGAAATCGAAAATGCATCTGTTATCTGTCACAGCCGTAGAAAAATTATAGTGTATACCTCGCATGAAATGCTAATTTCCCACTCGAATGATTACATCACTATCATTCCATGATCGTTAAACAATATACTATTTTTCAATAGGTACTAATTGAATACTGATCAATTATATTGTTACTTGCCCCTCCCTGAGATTATCTCTACAGACACCCTTGAAGACAGCGTGTTAGATAATTCCTCACATTTGTATCTCGCAGGGCCTCAGAATTCTCCGTTGGTAAATGACGACCTTGAAGTATCTTCCCTTGTGATACACCACGATGTGATTGGAGTCTAGCCAATGATTTATCTTATCTGTCTCCACCCCTGGAATCCTTGTGGTATTGAAGATTCTCTCGTACTGCCAAGAACACAAAGGAACTAGCCCCTGAACCAGAATGGGCTCCAATTCTTGCCTCTCCACCAGCCTTCGAAACACCAACAAAGAGTGAATGGCTGATGCTGCTCTTGCAGCTTGTATCTAATAATAATAATTATAATATTGATAATAAGTCGAGTAGTAGTCAAGAGGAAGCAAGCATACTTGAAATCACAATTTTATTGTCAACCTTTTATAACAGGATTGTGGACATAATTATGAGTATGCCTGCTTCAACAATAATTCGCTGCAATTTCTTACATACAGTAAGACTGTGTGGGTTGATACATTTTCATTTAAAATTCCGGAGTTTCTTTCATGAAAAAGGTCAAGACAAGCCTGTTTTTATTTCATTTTTGAATTCTGCATGTGCATGTCCATGTCAAATATCCAAATTCATGTTATCAAGACTATTGAACATGTCAATAACCGATTTCATTTAAAATAAGCAATCATATGGCCTATGTCAACTGATGAGGCTTAGTAAGCCAAAACAGTATGTGTTGGTGAACATGTCAATAACCGAACTGATTTATTTATAAAAACGGAACAATAAATTATATGGCCTAGTGCAACTGTTGAGGCTCAGCAAACAGTATGTCTTGCATTAGCTGACTCAATTCACGAAATTCCCCTAGAAATTTTCTAGACCATAAAAACGAAAAAATCGATCGGTTTAAAAATTTCACGAACAAGTTAATTTCATCAAATAGTTGGCGAAAATAGTCTTTTAAAGAATATATGGATATTAAACTATTTAAAATACGCGCACTACGACCTAGCCGTAGTACTTGAAATAGAGCAAGTTTGAAAACCAGTTATTCACAAATAATTAATGCTATTTCATTCTATTGGTACACTGAGATCATGAATATGGAAAAAACAACTAATAATATAAAATGGTTGAACATTTGTTAGTGATATTTTGTTTGACATTACATGGTACTGTCAGATCGATAATTAAAATGTAAAATTTTTAGACATCACGTTTCTCGGGTTGTTGATATTGACGTGTGTTACCATGGTAATTTTATAAAAAAAACACGGGTTTTTGAAAGTTGAATTCGAACAGGCAATCTTCAAATAGGCACAGTAGGGTACCAATGGAAAAATAATATGTTACCTCAGTCTGATGAAGGAAAACAGCATCGATACCGTAAAAGTTCGAGTTTATCATCAAGGGGGACCTGCCTCTCAGATAAACATACTCCTCCCACCAATCCGAGACGTAATTCGTCGACCACCATGATTTTAGGAACAGATAGCGTTGTAGTTTTTTCCCTATACCGTTTTCAAATTCAGTGGCTAGTGTTTCCATTCGTTTGTAATTATCATCGTCAAGGAGAGGTTTCACACTTCTCAAGTACTGAAACAATCATTTCATACATTCAATAATAATAATCTGCATCAAAACAAACAAGAACAAAAAGTATACGTGTTGAAGGTAGTAAAAACAAATGGGTGACAAACAATTATGTACCTACTAAGTATATTCTCAAAGAGCTTATAGAAAACCCACAGAACAAATACATTTTCCTACGATCACCTATGAAAGCTGCGCACTGTGTTGTTGCTCAGTAAGGAACTTATATCAACATAGCATTGCAAAACTTAAAACGATCAGTATGGCAATATTCCCGCACGCTCACGTAAGCTTTGTTTGGTCTATATATTTCAATATATTTTGCCCCTGGAGAACTAAAAATTGTTCAGGTTTCGGTATTTGTCATTTTGTCATAATCTGTGACACATAACCTTATTGCTGGCAATGCTGTCATTGCTGTCTACACCGGTGTGCCTAGGGCCTACATCGGTCTACACTTGGGACTCGGGTATTATCTGCTGTATTTTGGGCTGCGTGTTTACGAGGTGCGTGGAAGCTCTCTACTTTCTCAAATGGAACACCCTGTATTTCATTGCATTTTTAGATTCTTCTTGAAGACTTGAGGGTTCATTTTTCTATCTGTTGTAATAATATAGCCTATCAACAAATTTTACTCCTACCAGCTCAATCGCGGGACAACGCTTAGCAGCAGCTTATCAATGTTGTTGAACAAAATATTTTCCGTATGCAACTGACTGTACTGAATCTGCTGATTTTTCATTCCGAAATAATAAAAAAATCACTGAAAGTAACAGATACTTGTGAGCAGACATACTATTCATTCCAAATATTTTTACTCAAAATTCTGCTGGAATTGCTGACTATCAAAAAGTAGTGTGAATCTAGTGAACTGTCATTAATGTAGTGTGGCTTCAGTGAACTGTCATTATTTCAAAAGAAAAGGAATGTCACATTTATTTCCTTTGTTTTTTAAACATTAAGTCTTGTCTTATCAATAACGAATTAATAATATCATATTTGATATCAGAAAATTCTTGTTATTGAAATAATTGACACTGAAACTGATATTCAAATTACCCCAGCCGATCAACTGCTGCTGATTACTGATGAAAATCATGAGAACGTTTTCCGGATTACAGCACTGTATTTTTCATTTAATATTTCGGAACACAGATTTTCAGCAGAGTCAGTAGTTTTACTGACAGTACTGACCAGTTGAATTCGGAATATAGCAAAAGCTGAAACTTCACCAATCGTTCAATAACATTAGTTATGGACCTAATGATGAAAAAAGTGCCCCAGAACAACCTACCATAGATTCTACAGGGTGATCAACTTACCTCTAAACGAAAATGCCATGAGAGGGTACTGAAAAATAATTTTATTTCCAGATTTGCACATTTAAAAATCCTTGAATGGTAGTACTCTAAAATTCGTAGGGCAATGTTCTATCGTAAATGTGCATGAAAAACATATGAGATGCAATATAATTTATTATTATTATTAAGAATATTTGATTTTGGTGCTTAGCCCAGTCGGCAGGTCGTGAAAAAGGGGTGTCACGATGAAAAATTCAGAAGTTGATGAAATTTAAGTATGTTATTTGTACATGTTAAGTGATGTCAAATCCAAGTTTTCGACCTCGAGGAGGTTGTGGAAAATTTTTTATGGTCAAAAAACCTCGAAATTTTCGGACTTGTTTCAGTTTTTCACCTATAACTCGACAACGGTCTATCCTACGGGAAAAAACATGGTATACTAAATTAAAGAAGACAAAATTCCCCGTTGACTCACGAGAAAAAAACTGAAATCGGAGAAGTAGTAAAGTTTTCACGAGCGATCGAAATATGGTGATTATTTCGAATTTTGGTAAAACCTGCCATAACCCCATTTTCAAAGTGCTGCATCTTTTTTATTATTCATCTCAGAAAAAAAATTATTCCTCTTAAAAAGTTCTGTATGTCCTAAAATCTGAAATACAATCATCCGATATCATTTTTATTCAGTCTAATACACGGTGAGCCAAATATAAAGGTACTTTACTCTTGGGTACAAATCACATTTTTTGACACACCGCGTATATGACTGAATAATTTTTATATCTGATGATTGTATTTCAGATTATAGAATATGCAAACATTTTTATGAAGAATAACTTTTTAGTGAAACATACTGTATTTAGGTAGAAATAAATCTTGAGAATTTATTATCCTTACACAAGCTGTTACTAATTCTGTTATATGGATATGGAAACCGTCAGTGATAAAACAAAGTTCAAAGGGAGGCAAAGTTGCGTAAACAGAAGTCCAACAAAATGCAGTTAATAAATAAAGAAAAAACCGCTTATTTTAGGAGATATACGTCAGAAAATCAATTTGATATTGTCATTCTGTATGACGTAGGTCATTAGAAGTACCAATGATTATGTTGAATTACTGTCCATTGAATAAAGTTGTTATTAACTAAATAATGGGTCACATTCTTTTAGTTTTCTTCATGTATATCTCCTGAGATAGTTGTATTTTTTAAGGTTTATTGTCTGCATTTTTTGGGGCTTATGATTACGTAACTTTGCATTCATTCAAACATAGATAGATAGATAGAGATAGATTTATTTGTTTCAAAATCATACAGTTTAAGAAAAAAACATCAAAATATGAGCGTAGGTAGGTATATTCACCAAGCAGCCTTACACGGAAAAAAAGGATTTGTTGCATCCACAAACTATTTATGTTTTAATTATCTTTGTTGGACTGAGCAATTTTTTGTTGAATCAACCAGATACATGATTATTTCATGGAAGCAGCTTGTTCAAATCAAGAATGTAGTCTAATTGAATCAACAGTATAATAGCAATTCCATCAACAAAATATTTAGTTTTATCAAAAACAAATTATGTTGATCCAAAATAATGTCGATATTGAATCAATTACAAACATTTTGTTGATTTGATCAAATAATGATCATTTTGATGGGAATATATCTTTGGAACAACATACAAGTTTTCTTATTCCGATGTAGCAATGGACTTGTTTCGAACGGATGATCTGCTTGAATATAGCAACGAAATATGTAATATCAATGAAATATTTTGTTCATTCTACATCAAATTAAATTTTCGCCTCTAGATGGCGATCATTTCGCCTCGTCTATGCCTGCCTCGAATTCATTATATACGTGAAGCCTGATTCTTCGTGTTTGAAATATCAACTAGATAAATCGAACTTTGGATGATTAGCAATCCTAAATAGTTTTCCATCAGCTGAAGAGAAGAAAAGACTGATGATCTATGCAAGGAGTCGACTCGTTTCCTAGTTTTGTTTATTCTATTGATGTGAAATTCCAGAAAATTCCCGAATATTGAATTTGGTTCAACAAAACAATTTGTCGAATGGATATATAGTTTCTCTTGAATCAACAAAATATTTCATTGAATCAACCAAATATTTCTTTGAATCAACCAAATATTTTGTTGAATCAACTAAATATTTGATTGAAGCAATATCTTATTATTTTGAATCGAACAAAATGATTATTTGAGCCAATTCAATATCTCTTCAAAACCATTCATGGATGTGCTTGATTGAAGAAGATCCAGAGTTCATGCAAGACACATTTACTTGATTCAAACGTCAGATTCGCTCTGAAACAAGATATAGATTTACTCATTTCAAGATTATATTTTGTCGTGCATATATGACACTTTTATTTGCTTCATTCAATTAAATTTTGCTTGATTCAACAATTCCTTTTTTTCCGTGTAGGGTCTTCGGCTAAGAACATCTGGTTCCAGAAAAGTGGAAAAGGGAACGTCCCCAGCGTCATGTACTCCGCTACATCGTGTAAATTCCATTCAGAAGAAATTCTCTTTCTCCATGCCATAAGTGGATGCGACACTACTTCCGCACCCTTTGGTTTGGGAAAGAAGAAGGTTTGCAGCACGTACGCGAAGAATCCCTTCCTTACGCCCAACGTTTTGATTTTCACCAAACCAGATGCCACTGCATCAGAAATTTGTGAAGCGGGCGAAAAATTTCTGTTGACAATGTATGGAGGAGACCCCGAGCGAGAAAACCTTGATGGACTGCGATACAAAATATTCACCAAGTCGGTGTCAAAAGCCAAATTTCAACTTGCCAGGCTTCCACCTACTAGTGATGCTGGTAGGTATCATTCCTTCCGTACATACCAGCAGGTACAAACTTGGTTAGGAAACAACAAGATCCCTGCAGATTGGGGGTGGTCCCTAACCAAGCAAGGAGTGGTACCTATCACCACTACGAAGAATGCAGCCCCTGAGTCTCTCCTGAAGATTCTTGCCTGCAAGTGTGCCAGAGGCTGCAGCACCGCGGCCTGTAGTTGCAAGAAGGCAGGCCTGCGGTGCTCAGTTATTTGCAAGCACTGCTCCGGCCACGCCTGCGAGAACTCGCGCGTGCCAGAACTCAATGAGGACGACGAAGAGGAGGACGACGACCTCCTGGAAGATCTCATCGCCCAAGAGGAGCACGAACTTGAGGACGACGACGTCGAACCTCAGCCAAAAGGGTCTCGACTCAATCAATGTATGTATCTCCATTCATTATTATTCATTAGCGTTCTTATTTTTTACATGAAATATTTCATTGTTGCCTTTTTTCTCGCAGAACAGAACCTTCGAAGACTCGATATGAAGACTGATGCAGATACATTATGTATTATATAGTGTGTAGATATGTATATGTTTTTATGCTATACCTACTAATGAATTCTTCGTAAATATATTTTTTCACATAATTACATTTATTATCTATTGGGTATGACATTGTTCTCCGTCAACCATTATTATTTTCCTAGGTATCAATAAAATTGAGACGGAATCACAAGGTGGTCATGGGTCATTGGGATCATTTACCCCAAGTAAAAAGCATAGAATCAATAGGTAGCTATTTTCGAGAAACGCAAATTTTTTAAAAACAGTCCCAACAATTTCAGAAATTGAGCTGATTTCAAAATGTTAGCGCATTTTGAACTCTCTGATTGAT